AGAAGGATGTACTGTGAATACGGTTTCTACTGAAAGATTTTCCAACGACAATTCAAAAGATGTATTTCAAACCCAAAAATGTCAAAAAACGACGTTTTAAATGTCGGTCAGATTTCTGTGACGAAAATAATTTCTTAAGATAAGTTCAAGCAAACCTTAAATATCTTTTGAAAAAATCATTAAGTAATAGTGTGCTGTAGTTTTTTCCTTTTTACTCAAAGTGACCTCAGAAAAGCGCTTGAAGGTGCCCTGTTTAGTTTTGTTAATGTTAATCTCTAGTTTAGCCCTGCAACTCACAAAGGCTGGTTGAGGAGAGGATTGGTAGCATGGAGACATGGACATGTACTCTCAAAATGATCGGACCTTTTTTTTTAAATTCCGTCGTCCGCACAATTGTTTGCCACATATTCTTTGACCTACAGCTTCGAGGTCATTTGTCCTGGTGATAGTTGATAGCCGTTGACGGGCGTGTGACCTTTGTTCCACTTAACAAATCCCCATCCTCCACCCTCCCTCCCGCTCCTCCACCCTCCCTCCCTCCCTCTCCCCTGCATTTCTCCACTGTGAGAACATGTGACTGGGAGTGTGCGATTTCACCAGGGAGAAGGGAGACCTGCGTGGTTGTGTTGTGCAAGGTCGGTTTTTGTGTCCTAAAACCGGGGGTCGACTGTGACTAGGAGGCTGGACTGGATTTCTTCATGCTAGATGATGGCATGTCACCTTCCGCACACTGTGTAGGTTGTCTTTTCCTCTTTGGTGTCCAAAGTAAATCTGTATCGTACCGCTTTATACCTGTAGACCCCCGTAAGTGATAATATACAGAAATGAACCCACTCGTCCTTCTATTTTTATTATTTCCCTCACACGTGCTCTTGGCGCCCCTGATTGTAATATGTTTGTATCTTGTGCACGAGGTAAAAATAGTAATTCATCACCTGGGCTGCAGCAGGTCCTGCAAAACACACATACATGACATCATGCCTTTTTGGATTTGAATTAATAGTGAAACACTGCAAATGTCCTGAACATAGTTAGGTTCAGGTATTAGGATATTTTTTGTTAGAGCTGTAATAGGTAGATAGTCTGCAGCTGTCAATCATTGACCCACAGCAAGGATGTGGAGGAGCTATCATTTTCAAGGTAGCAACTTATTGACTTTCATTCTTTCTTTAGCCTGCTATTGCCATCATAATTCAAATAATTTAACTCCAGACGTTTCCTGCTGTAACATCTCTTTTCATCACAAAGCTGTCTGTATGTATACGGTGTGTGTCTGTATTGATATAATTCTTTTTCATGCTTAGATTGAGACACAGGAAATATATCCATCTTTTATTTATACCGGGTGATGCTCGACAGTTTATATTTCAAACCACTAAAATACTCCATTGCTACGCCTGTCAAGCTTTTCTTTTTTCAGAAGGACAATTCATGTTGTATTTATGCTTCATGGAGTTTGTTGTTTTTAAGTAACTATTTACTAATAAAGAAGCTAGCTATCACATTTTTGCATTTTGTTTTTTCAAAGGTCTTTAAAAAACGCTGCCCTCCGTAATCTTTAAATCGGAAGTATCTGTTACATCAGCCCCCAGGAATCAATGAATCAGCTACATTTTTCCGCTGCACAGATTCCTGTAACTGCTGAGAGAAAGCTGCTCCTGGGATTTGTAAGTGACCTTCTTGCTAAAATGGAATTATGTTAAATTTGTTCAAATCCCCGGGTGTTAAAGTTGTAATTACGAGCTTAAATCGTTTAACCCAACGGTCAAGAACCAAGACGACTAATTTGTTTTGTTTGTCTACACGCCTCCGTGAAGAGGAACTTGACTGTTTGTGAGGAAATCCAGTGCGACTAACCAGCCGTGTGGTTTTTCTCTCTGTAACTTCCTGGTTGTGGTTTCAAAACTCGAGCTGTAGTCCACTCACGTGCTACTGGCCTGATGTTCTGTGTCAAGTGATCCAGCTGTCCTCTCCCCCTCTTTTTTTCCCCCAAAGTCTTGCGTGTGGGGTGACCGGCCAGCCGGCTCTGCCATTGGCCCGTCGTCTTCCCCGTCCAAGTATGGAGAGCAGAGGTGGAGTGAGGGGAAGCGTTGTGACGACAATGTCTCCAGCGTGTCATCGATGGCATGTGACAGAGATGAGATGATTATGGCTTAATCTATGAATTGATATTCTATTGAATGGTGTTCTAGTCTGCAAAATAAAATGAAGTCCTCAGGAAGAAAACCCAGAGACGGATGTTTCCAGAGGACCAAGTTGTGTTTTAGTGGTGAAAACCATAAATTGATTAAAGGTTTAATGTTTTTTCAGGATGAGGTGCTGTTTTTATAACAATCAAACAAGTGTTTTACAGCACAACAGTATACAACAGTATTGTTAATAAATAAACAAACAAGGCATTTAAAGATGCTGCTGTGGTCTGTTACCATCAATCTGATGGAATATTTTGACTTTTTGACGTCAGGCATGTAATTAGCAGGAATTAATGAGAAACTGTTTTATTCATAAAACTGTATATTGATGTACATAATTAACACACTGGCAAGATACAGAATACAATGTAATCCATACAACCTCTACCACCATGTTTCGGCATTGTGTATAACCGTTACGCTCCACTAACAGACGTGTGTGTTTCGCTGGTTACGGTCAGCTGATGAAACTCAACTGTAGTTAATCGACTGGAAATCTTCACCTGTTCATTGTGGACTCGTACAAGTTTCACCTTCTCGGCAACACAGAAATTGCGCACACCGTGTCCAGATAATGTCTGATAAGACACCGGTCTTTCAATCTTAAATAAACCCTCAATGTTTGAGTCACGCAGATCAACGATCAGTCGACTGGATTCTAATTGAATTTGTGGCCTCAATTACCCTTTTAGACAGTTTTTTTTCCTTTTCTTCACAGCTGATAACCACTGGTAGTCCCCTCTTATGCAAGTCTTGGTTTCACAAGGACAAAAAGCTCACATTTCCGTGGCGTTAAATCGACCCGCTGCTTGGATGGCGCGCGGGTAGCCTTGCCCCGCGCGTCTGTGTTTCTGTTTTAGAGGGGCGTGTCTCTGCTATTCATAGTTGTGAGAACCTCAGAGGCCTGTTAGAGGTCAGCGGCAGTCCTTCTAATAGCAACTGCTGCAGCAAAGTGCCGGTCAGATAGCTGCGGCGCTCTGCCCTTGGACACTGTCTATACGAACCTTCACACACACACACACACACACACTGGGGGACTGTGAGTATAGAGATTTATTCACCTTCGTTTTTTTCCACGATCCACGTTTTGGGCTGAATTTTGGCTGCGTTTGATTTGCCGTCACAGACGTAGTGTGGTCATCTCGTCTTTCAGGATAGCTCACCTGTAGGGCTTCACCGTAGTACTGTAAGGTTGAATTTGTTTGCTTTTCATTTTTAATTTTTTTAAATGTATTACAGTCCAAAATATAACAGCCTCTTGCGAGTGAGTATTTTGTTTTGGTATTGGAGCATCAATAATCTCTTGATCCTTGAACAGAGGAATAATTTACTGCGTTTTAATTGAAATAATTGAAGGAAGAAGTAGCTTGTGTGCACCCTTTGCCCCAGTGGGCACTGGTCTCTGTTGCCATGAGATGTGTGATAATAATAGAAGTAGGTGAGAAGTCAATTGTTACCTACTGTATGTGGTGGTTGTTACTTGACCTACAGGTCTGTTACCATTTAATCTAGAGGTCAACTGAGTGGAACATGTTGGCACATTACACATAGTTGTTAATGTGTTACCGTGTCCAGGTGTGATATTAGAAAAATACCTTTTGCTATTAGGTGTTGAGTTGATAAATGTCTGGGGTGGAAAAAGGCTCGCTTAAGCAATTGGATGTCATTTGACATTTTACTTTCCTATTGCAATTTTGTGGCACGGAGCCGTGTTTCCAGTTCAATGCGCTTTCAGCCAAGTGAGTCGAAATCTTAAATGTTGTCTCACCGTATGTCTGAGGGGAAGTGAAGCTTCCCCTCAGACATACGGTGATTAGCATGGGGTTTGTTGTATGTGTCTGTGTCATTATATCACCACGGCGGCTTGAGATCTGAAGACGCGTGCGGCGTCAAACCGCCTTCCCGTCTCCTTGCTTCAAAAGATATTGAATGGGACGGCACATATTCCTTCTGTATGCATTTGTGTTCACGTAAGAACAGTTGCGATCATATATTTATATTGGTAGGATTCTTGTTTAAAATTTTTAACTATTCTTCATTTTTTTGTTTTTGTGATTTTAGACCTAAAGACAGCTCAAAGAAAAAACGTCTTCTCTTAAACAACAAATTAATAGTTGTATCACATTTTGCTGCTCTGAAGAATTTCTGTCTCTGGTCCTCTTTCTATCATATCATCATATGATGCGTTTAAATTACTTTTAAAGGAAGTCCTACTACAAGTATAGCTGAACATTAGATTCTCCCGAGAAAGAAAGTATAGCAAATCTATGATGTGATAAAACAATTAAATCAGGAAATGTCTCATCTATTGAAGAACATTGTGTTACAATATTCAAAGCTATGGTTTGTGGTGTTGAAAGAAAAATTAAACAAAAATGTTGATTCATTTCATAAGAGAATAAAACGTTGTCTTACACAGTGTGTTCAGCGCAGCATGTTTTTGAGACCACGGTGACACCGACGCAAGTAAATTGCCTTTAACTCTGAATGGGACCAGTATTCTCCTTCTGCGTGAGCGGGTTCTGATGTTGTTCTGATAATCTAAAACAAGAGACCCATTGATAAAAAGGATCAGCGCCTGCTGTGTCACTGCGTCCCGACAGATCCACATTGTGTCCGCGAGTCCCTCATTTCTGTTTCCCCAAACCGTACAGTCAAATTCTTTGATTATGCGTAGATGCTAAATTGGTTCTTTAAAAAAAAAAGAAATCAGCTTAACTGGAACAGCGGCACAAAGAGAGCAGGACTAAAAGTGCTTTGACGTGATTGTGTTTGTGTCTTGTTGTTTCAGGGTCGTTCTGAACAGTCATGCAGGCTCCGGAAGTCCTGAGACAGCTGTGGTTTTCCGAGCTGGAGGATGTTCGGCATTACATGCGCGGCTTGCCCACAAATGCGCTCATGGGGATGGGGGCCTTCGCCGCCATCACCACCTACTGGTTCGCCACCCGGCCGAAAGCCCTCAAACCACCATGTGACCTCGGCCAGCAGTCGGTGGAAATGCCAGTAAGCGATCGCTTTCTCCTTTTTCCTCGGCTGATGTCAAATGTCGCTGAACCTGATTCATTTGACGTGAGTCTCATGCATGACGCAGAAAGACAATGATGTAACTGTCCAGCCGCTGTCCTGTATTCCGGCGAGTCAGAGGAATAACTAAAGCAAGATCCGACTCGATCATTCAGGATAAGGAGCCTTCCAGTGCTTAAAAAGTTGACCTTTGAAAAGTTAAAATTGGCTTAGCTGTGAAAGTGGACTTCATCGCTATTTGTTGTTTTATCCTTTTCAATTTGGGTTTATTAGCAAATTATTTTATTTATTATTCACAAGTAAAAGCTTATTTATCAAAGCTTATTTCAAGCCATCAACTTTGCGGTTGCCATTTACCGGGAACTATTTTTATTTTAAAAAGAGAAACAACAATACGAGCCGTGTCCGCTGCCTAAGTGCACATGGCTTGTCCCAACTCGTGTTGTTCTGCAGTCTTCTGTCATTTCACATGCTAATGATGCTGATAATGATGCTCCTCTCTGTCCTCCCTCTTGTGCTGATCGCTAGAGAATGCTGTAATGTGTGTCCAGAGCGAGCGGCGCAGAAGGTTGGTTCAGTGCTGGTCTTAACATGATGGGGTTTATTTTTCTTCTTCTAGGGTGGCGAACGTGCAAGAAGGTCGGCGCTGAACGACAGCGACGAGCACATGACTTACTACTACAGCGACGCACGCACGATCTACGAGGTGTTCCAGCGAGGGCTCAGAGTGTCAAGTGAGTGTATCCCGCGTAACGTTTTCATGTGATGGAACTTTACCGACGGATGTGGGTGCAAGTGAACAATTTTATCTTTTGCAGACGACGGGCCGTGTCTGGGATCAAGGAAACCCAACCAGCCGTACGAGTGGCAGTCTTACAGTGAGGTGAGACGTGGGACTCTTAACGCTTTACTTCTCCACAACTCGCCAAGAAGGGGAAAAAACAAAGCCTTTTGTTGTGTTGTTGCACAGGTGTCAGACCGAGCGCAGCACGTGGGCTCTGCTCTTCTTCACAGAGGACACTCTCATACGGGAGACAAGTTTATTGGCATCTTTTCCCAGAACAGGCCGGAGGTAAGACGAATTGCTTAATAAATAAATGAATAAATAAAGATATATTGACAAGCTATACGTTGTAAGACTTGACTGTTTGGACTTGTTTTATGTGTTTTTGATGGGAAGTTATGTATGTATTTTTTTCATTAGTGCTGTTGCTTTATTTATGTTTTTTGTTTTTGTCCCTCAGTGGACCATCTCCGAGCTGGCCTGTTACACATACTCCCTGGTCGCTGTTCCTTTGTACGACACGCTTGGCACCGAAGCGATCAGCTACGTTATCCACAGAGGTACGCAAAAGTCCACAATTAAACCCTAACCACACACCACCTGCAGTAATATCGCCGCGCTCTAGATAAACGGACGCGAATGCTGACGCTAACTGAGCCGTCAATCTGGCGACGTCCGTCTTCACAGCTGCCATCTCGACCGTGATCTGCGACGTGCCCGAAAAGGCCCAGATGATCTTGGACTGTGTCAGTGAGAACGGGAGGACGGTGAAGACGATTGTGCTCATTGAGCCGTTTGGCAGCGAGCTGGTGGCGCTCGGACGAGAGTGCGGCATCGACATCTTGAGCTTAAAAAGCTTTGAGGTCAGAATAACAAGCGAATCTTCTTTTTGGACGAAATCTACAATCGACAACCTTGAGCAGATTTTCCCCGTTGTTGTTGTTGTTGTTGTTGTGTTTTAAGTGCCACTGCCATGTTCTGGTTATGACTGAATGGAAACGAGTCCCTGAGGCGCTGCATGATTGTTATCAGCTGTACCTACAGACGCTACAGTCTCACTCTGGGAACATTTCTTTTGTTCCAGGCTCTGGGTAAAGCCAATCTGCACCAACCAGTGGTGAGTGGCCAGCTGTTTGCATGAGATTAATTCTTACTACATTACTGCTGTCAAAAACTTATATAATGTAAATAATTTGGTTGTGATCGGCAGCCAAAAAAACTAAATCGCCTCTCTCGCACATTACAAACTGCAGTCAAGCTTAATATACATCAGTGTTTATCTGTGATCTGATTACAGCCCCCTACACCAGAAGACCTTGCCCTTATCTGCTTTACATCCGGTACCACGGGTAATTGCACAACTGCGTTACAACATTAGTCGGAAATGTCTCTCGTTTTTTTTATTCTCATGCATAATCATGCTCACTGCTTTCCTTTCAGGAAACCCAAAAGGTGGAATGCTTACTCATGGAAATGTGATTGCCAACACTGCAGGTTTCATTAAAATGACAGAGGTAAACAAACATACCAACTGGACTTCTTACACTAAAGGCTACTGTCTAATGCGCAGTACCAGCGGTTTGGACACACTTCCTGAATGAGTAAATGTGTCCAAACTTTAGCCTGTATCTGTATGTTTTAGTCCTCTTATTTTAACAGTGAAAGATTCTGGTTGTATTATGACATTTTCTTTTTTCCTTTAGTAGAGAACGCTGTTCCACTAATGTTCCTCTCTCATTTAAAAAAATAAAATTCAGTCACAACGATAGAAGGACTTAATGTTTTGCTTACAAAGAACTAAAAACCAATGATTAGGCAGTAAAGGAAAGTCGTTTCTGTAGTAAAGACGCACCTGCTGTACTCAACTTTTTAAGAAACTATGTGATTTTTAACAGGAGTAGTGCATCAACATTGCAGATATTTACAAAGCTCACTGTTGTCATCATTTATTATGTCCTAGACACGTGAAAAAACAGCTGAAAACATTCTTCCCCTTTTTTCACACCATCGACCAAATACGTGTTTGCATTCGGATCACGTGAATTGTAAACATTTCTGATAAACTTACTACTATAAAATCTCAAACCCCCGTCTAACTCAGGTGAACCCTCTTTGATGCCTTTTTATTATCATTTCTTGTCCGTCTCGCCTTTTGCTTTATCGTTTTTTCCCTTGTGTCTCCTCCTCCCCCTCCTGTCAACGTGGTCGGCCAGGGCTTTCTGAAAGCCACCAAAACAGATGTGCTCATCTCCTTTCTCCCTCTGGCACACATGTTTGAGAGGGTGGTGGAGGTAGAGTTCGCCATGCTCGGCCTGCATAGATTGCATGTGTTTCTGTGCTGTGTGTCCTCCGCAGGTACACTGCATGCTGAGCGTCCATGACATTCATGTATCCTACCTCCCTCTAGCGCACATGTTTGAAAGAGTTGTACAGGTATGTGTGTTGCAGTTGCTGCTCTTCAGATGCGTTGTGCAATGACATAATAGAGTGTGGTTTTAAAGGTTTAATGGGAAAGTATTTTTACTTTCCTCAATGTGAGCCATCAAATGACCTGCGGCTGATTAAGTGAGAAACCGTGACGCCAAAAAATGCAAATGCAGTGTGTGTATATCCACCTCAGTTATTTTGAGTCTGTAGATATTTAGCGAAACGTTCACAACACTTCCTACTTGTGGGCGAGTTGTCACAATGATTTAATGAAACGGCTTTCCTGTCGTCAGGGGGTCGTCCTCATCCACGGCGCTCGAATCGGCTATTTCCAAGGGGACATTCGACTTCTGATGGATGATTTGAAAACTCTGCAGCCAACCGTTTTCCCCGTGGTCCCACGTCTCCTCAACCGCATGTTTGACAAGGTTAGGATGTGTGAAGTGTTACTCACGATAACGTTTACAGAAGCTGTAGTCAATAGAATCCTCTGCTTTTAGTTTTTTCAGGAACCTCTCCTTGCTATTGTACTATACAACGGATTTAATTGCCAATTTACTCCCATTTCTGTGGTCTGCTGTCTCGTTTTTTTGCCCTTTCCAATGTGGAGATTAAAATAAAGCTTTTCTGATCTACTCACAGGTATTTAGTCAGGCCAACACACCGCTGAAGAAATGGCTGCTCGATTTTGCTTTCAGAAGGAAGGAGGCGGAGCTTAAAAGTGGCGTGGTCAGAACGGACAGCCTGTGGGACAAACTCATCTTCAAGAAAGTGCAGGTAAACAAGAACTCTTCGTTTTTTTTTGTTCAACTGAAGCATATTTCTTTCACTTGTTTAATAAAAAAATGTTTAAAAAAAATCCCATGCGCAGGCGAGCCTCGGCGGTCGTGTCAGACTCATCATCACCGGGGCAGCACCGGTGTCTCCGACCATCCTGACGTTTCTTCGGGCTGCACTGGGTTGCCAGGTGAGCCACGTCCACTCGACCCAACTCATTCATCATTTGCATGTAAAAGTCACTAAAACATCCTCTGCGCGCCACAGTTCTATGAAGGCTACGGCCAGACTGAATGCACAGCTGGGTGCTCCATGTCGATGCCCGGGGACTGGACAGCAGGTACGTACTCCTGCCTGTTTATGTGTAATACAGCTGAGGATTTAACTTCACACAGTTCGGTCTTTGAACCATGAAAGTAAGTCGTGACTGTTTTGTGCCTGCAGGTCACGTTGGGGCTCCTCTGCCCTGCAATGCTATTAAACTGTTGGATGTGCCAGAAATGAACTACCTGGCAGCCAATGGAGAAGGAGAGGTGCTTAAAATGAAACTCACAAAGCTGCACGGGGAAATCAATCTCATCTATTTGCTTTTTAAGTAAAGATACTTAAAGGCTTGTAGTATTTGGCTCTATGGATCTATTCCAAAAAGCAGAATTGAAATTCTACTACTAGTTGGTATTGTGTCAACACTTTCATAGAACAAAAATAAAATAACTTTTTTATTACAGTGCAAAAAACTCCCAGTTAGTAACTAAAGCATGCATTAAAAGGTCAGTGTGTGTATGTCAGAAATTATATTTAAAACATGTCCAATAATGCATGTCCGTAATGTCAGTAAATTATTATTTGTAGCATAGTAAAGTCATTTAAAATTCATTTTTAAGTCATTATGTGTAATAGTTGTAAAAAAATAATTAAAGTCAAAATGTAGAATTTATATAAATATGATGTCTGCAAATGTGAACAATTCAAACATTTTAAAATGTGATTTTCTTTTTTCATCCCATTTTTTAGGTGTGTGTCAAAGGACCAAATGTTTTCCAGGGATACCTGAAAGATCCTGAGAAAACTGCAGAGGCAATCGACAAGGATGGGTGGCTGCACACCGGAGACGTTGGAAAATGGCTTCCTGTACGTTGTACTTGACAGCGCCATTGAGCCATGATCCTTGTTTTTGAGTAGATTTGACGCCTGGTGGCAAAGCATCAGTTGCATCCACGATTTCAGTTTGTGTTTCTCTCCCGGTTCGTCACAGAGTGGCACTCTGAAGATCATTGATAGGAAGAAACACATTTTCAAGCTGGCACAAGGAGAATACATCGCCCCAGAGAAGATTGAAACCGCGTACAGTCTCAGTGATCCAGTGGCCCAGATATTCGTCTACGGCGAAAGCTTACAGGTGACTCATTTGAAACTGGTGTAACGCTAAATATTAGAAATTGTTCTGATCATGCACAAGATATTTTTTTATCTTCGGGTTACATTTTTCAGGCATGTCTGGTGGGGATCGTGGTACCTGATCCAGACATGTTGCCTATTTGGATCAAGAAAAAAGGGATTGAGGGCTCCTTCGCTGAACTGTGCAAAAACAAGGTGAGGATATTTTACTAACTGTAGCGCAGAGACTGACTCTCGCACGTGCTACTCATGTTAACTGTTTTAACTGTTTTTTTTAGGATGTGAAGAATGCCATTCTGGAGGACATACTGAGGCTGGGCAAAGTTGCAGGGCTGAAGTCTTTTGAGCAGGTGATTTTTGTTTTATTAAAATAAAAAACGCTTCAAGTTCATAATTTACCATTGAACTACATTAATGGTCACATTGTTTTTCAGTTATATATTATCAATTGTTAAAATGTGCTCCTTTGTAGAACCTGAAAGTAAACCGAATTGTTTGGAAAGACGAGCAATTTGAATCCCATCACCCGGTGCTGATTTAATTAGCAGATGATTTGACAATAATACAATTGCTCTTAAGACCACTACTTTAACCGTATGTCTGTACTTCTGTTATATCTGCCTTTGCTCGGTTTCTCCCCGGCAGGTTCGAGACATCGCTTTGCATCCCGAGCTGTTTTCCATCCAGAACGGCCTGTTGACACCGACCCTGAAGGCCAAGAGGACCGAGCTTCGAAACCTCTTCAGAGATCAAATTGATGAACTCTATGCCAAAATTAAGATGTAGACTGGGATCGAGGAGTAATGTCAGAAAAAGGTAACGATCATAGAAAGCACACAACCAGGACCCCATAGCTGTCAGTGACAATCCATACTGAAATATGTATTCTCACCACTTCTCCTTTATAGCTGTACCACCTAAAGGGTAAAGGGTCGACGCAAAGGGGAAATACGTTGCTCATGCCATAAACTGTCATTAAGTCGGACTAATTCATGGTCGGAAATGTGACGACATTTTGTGCCTTTTTTTTTTTTTTTTTTTCCTATTCTTGGGAGCCGCAGAAAAAAACTCAGACAGAAAGAAACTGCTTTTACAAGTGACTTGTATTCACTATTTATCTACCAGTCTGTTTGATGTGTCGGTCTATTTAAGTTGGTGTTTAATATAATCACCAAACTTAAACGTAAATAGTGTATCTGCAAAATAAGAAAAGTCTATTTGTTTGCAGAATATTGTGCCTGATAAGTCTGTTGTAATTCCCTGCATTCCTGTTAAGGACTGATGCACCTATTTTACTGCACAATTGAGGTACTGGCCTATTCGGAATCGTACTTCTTGACGACTTGACGTGCCTTTTTTTGACATTTTCTTTAACACTCCATGGGAAATGAAATGTTAATGAACTGTACGTGCTGTTCCTCTTTTTTAGAATTTTATTTTCACAGTATGCAGAATTAAGCTGCATACCATTTTGAGAACACACTTGAGAGTCCAGAGGTTTCTTTTTGGTTCACTTTGTTTTTCAAATTCCATATCCTTGACAACATTTCATATTGAAGTTCACTAAATTTTAAATTTTCTTGTGTGAAACGGAGCAGCATCTCTGTTGCTTGACTAAATATTTGGGTTTTGAGTTCTGATGGTTTGACTGAGGAATGGTGTCTACACTTTGATCACATTAAGGCTTTTTGAGATTTCAAGCCATTTAATTGTGTTTGGTCTTTTTTTTATGACTATGTTGAAAAGGGTGACGGTGCAGTTTTGTGCTGAAGTTACAAGTACAGTATTTATTTCCCAGGTGTACCAAATAAATATTTTCTTCCAAATCTGTGTTTTTTTTTTTTATCTTGTATCGTTGTGAGTGGGGCGTTTGCGTGTTGTCTGTCCATCAAGTCTTGTGAACAACAAATTCTCACTGACAAAACACTGCAAGGTGACAGGTTGACATTATTGTAATTTCTGACATGGACGCCAACCTATAAGGTTTTGTGCAGTCAGGGAACCAACAACGCTGTGGATGTAGTCAGGTTAGCACTGCAGTTTAATGTTTAAATAATACAATACAAAGTATTACATTTTCTGCTCAACAAGATAAACAGTTGTGAAGGGCGGACGTCCTGTTGATACACCTTAATGACACAGGAAAATACAGAACAATATATAGCAGACTTTACTCTGCAACATATTACCTTTTATTAGAGGCTTTTAACATACTATGACTTACCATAAAATTGCTATTTGATAACACTTTGTATGGGAAGTTTTGTACTAATGATATAATATAACTTTATGAACCGTCCATAACTACTATTATTAACAATCAACCATTTTACCCAGGATGCTATTTTAATAACACTACTGACCGCATGCTATCACGTTTTATTACGATATGGTTAACTACAAGTCAGGCATTGGAGGTTTGGTTTTAAATTGTCTTTATTTCAGATTTATAGCAGCGGGTTTAATAGCATTTACATCCTGCATGTAATAATTGAAGATCATCAGATCTCAAAAGCATGTCAGAGCAGCACGTCTTTAGAAATCCTAACATGGTCCCGTAGTGACCAGTTGGGACATTTTGTTCGACAGCATCCTTTCAGTCAGCAGACAGCTCTGCCTCTCAACACTGCGTTATAGACCGGTTATAAAATGTCACGTGCACATCTGGATTTGATGATCAGAGTTAACTGCCGCCAAAGCAGCACTGTTTCCTCTGACTCCCTTTTCTGTAAAAATGTGTTTTTTACTGTTCCACTTGTGTACGGCGAGACTCACCTTTCACTGGGAGTCAAAGTCTGCCATACATTTGAGCAGCAGGTGATCGGGGATGTCCCCGTTGTTTTTCTCATAGTCGTCCAGGCTCTCCAGGTAGTCCTGGTCATCCTGTACGTCCCCCCACACGTCCGCCTCCTCTGGACACACGGTGCTGTCGGGGGTCTGCTTTGGGGCCTGGCTGGGTTCAATGTTGCCCGCATCATCCATTAAGTAAGCCTGGTCTTCTTCATCCTGTAAGTGAGCAGAACAGCAATGTCTCTGATCTTTAAAAGCAAACACAAAAATATGAGTGCAATTTCAGCTCAGTCGATCAGGATGCTCGTTAAAGGTGAAGCAGACTAACCAGTTTCATGAAATAGCTGACGCAGATCTCCTGTGGCAGCGGACGACCTGTGACGTGAATACGTTTTAAACAGCTTGCATTGAGCCCTCCCCACAAACAGATCATTTGTTTAAAATATAAAAGAGTCAGTGTGGCCGCTCTCAGGGTCATCGCTTACTTGAGGACCTGAAGTTCTTACAATCAGGGTCGTGACACTTCTGGTACCACGCTTCCTCTTTGAGGTCCACAACAATCCTGCAGGGGAATGCGTGAGTGAGAAGGTAAGAGGAGAACACTTCACACGCAAACGTCAACAAAACATCAAACGTACATACATGATATTGTTGCTTTTGTGAAACTTTTCCACGTTTTCACACCAGCGGTATTTTGCGATGTCGTAAACCAGCAGTTGTTCAACAGCAAAGTAGTTCCATCGTCTGATGCCTGTCGAAGTAAACGTAGCTGACTGCGGATACAAACTGATACAATCAATCACTGTACAAATAGCTATGTGAATATGATGTATAGATGCTGTACACAAATTCACACATAATTATGCATGTATACATATTTTTGTGTATTAAGAGTTACGTAATAGAAAAAAAAAATCGGAAACATTAAATATATCATCTATTATTTTGCTAAATCTGTCTTACGAACGTAATAATTTAGATTTAAATGGGTCTCACCCAGAGCTAGTGTTACTTGGGAAGTAATTACTAAAATTAATAGTTAATATAATGTCTGTAGTTTATCCAAAGTTTGGGTTCTTTGCCAGATTTAAGTGATGTGATAGCTGAATTACAATCTCTATAGATTATTTGTGCATTAGCAGTAAGCATTATTATCATACAATAGCAATGTTGCTAAAAAGCATGACATGTGTTGTCTAAGGCGGAAAATATGTATCTGTTAGTTAACTAACATAACTGCAATATTTCAATAATTGATCAACTGTCAGTTTCCTCAACGGTTACGATTGATATCATCAGGAAACAACGACTGTTAGGCACCTAAAGCAACACCTCTGGACTTTAGGAAATTTATACACGCATGTAACATGATCTTCTATCAATTTATAGACCCAATGATTAGTTGACTGATGCAAATGCAAAATGTTTTAAGAGTAAAACAACATAACAACTTTCCCAGACACTTACTCCCATGGATGGCATCCTTTTTAACCACAGTCAGTACAAAGTTGTCCACTTCGGGATGAGGGGAGGACAGAGAGCCACACAGTGAACCTGCCAGTGATGCATGACAGAAAAGAAGTTACAGAAACTAAAACTATAGCTTAACTATTGACAGTCCGACCGATCCTACAATACGGTGTGCGCCGTTGCACAAGGGAGGGAGAAGGCTCGTTTGTCAGATCGCTCTTACCTGGATAAGTGGCTGATGCCTGCTGGCATTGAGGCCCCGAGCTTTTGGAACTCTTTGTTTCTGGGACATCTGAGGTGAGAATTCTTTGACTTGTGAAACTAGTGATACACAGAAATCAGCTCCGAGGATGGATGACGGTAATGGTTTCAGAAAACTGAGTTTAAAAAGTGGTGTACCTCACGTTACAGACTAGGGAAGCCAAGAACACACTTTCCTCCTCAGAAACTCCTTTCTCAAGTTTGTTAGTAAACTTGTTGTCGTCTGCCAGCTTGAATGCGGCGTTCTTTCCCACCTTTGATGACTTGTAGAGGCGGAAATTTCTGTTCTTGGTGTAAACACCTGTTTTTTTGTGAATTATAGCCATAATTACTATATTATTGGAGATTGGAAATGCTTACAAAAATGATGCATCAAAGTGTTAGTGACTAAAGCAAGAGAATCATTTGACCCAAGTTATTGTCTGATATAAGGCTAAAACTACAAATAAAGCTTGTGGTTTCTCTTACCAAGATCAACAAAAAGCGAGTCTCGGCCATCCTTGGTTTTCACCCGGAGGAAGTCGAGGTCGGTCTCTTCCTGCCTGCGCCTCTTGGCCTGTGGACTTTCCTCCATCTCACCCGCCTCTGCTGGCGTCCCTTCGGAGACGGTTCTGCTGTCAGCGCGTGAATGAAACAAATTGTAAAAAGAGATGGTAGCAAATATATTTAAATACTCTTTTGGGAAAAACAAACCGTGTTTCACTGTTTTCAGCCTCCGATCTCATCCCAACATCGGGGCAACTTTTGGGTGCACTCCGGACCGGTTGGAGGATTGCATGGACAAACCTGCCTGAAAAACAGACAGAATAAATGAACTGAAGTAACATCTTTATGACAAAAATATGACAATTTTGCTGCCTTTACTGGACCAACCCATATGTATGTTGTCTTTGAAAGCCGCATTTTGGAGATTGAAGATGAGATGTCTGCTGAACTTCTCTTCCGTGCTCGAGTCGAGGTTGAGGACATTTTCTGCAGAGCACTCGAGCCCGTAGACCCCCATTAGCTCGTCACAAACATACTGTCGAGGCACAAAATACAGAGTGATAAATATCATACAGCACGTCAAACATCTCACGGTAAGAAATGAACAAGATTAGCTACTTTATCCAGATGTTGCACCCATATGTGATAGTCTTGAGTCTATATACACACTAAAACAAACATCTATTATTTATTAATGACCAAGAACATTGATGCCCTAGTAAAAAAAAAGTAGATTTATTTATAACACATTCTTGGATGTTATAACTGCATAAAACTTTGTTATCTGCATTTTTCATATATATTCCATGAAGATGCCAAAAGTGCCCTACCTGGATGAGTGAAGAAACCATAGTTTTACCATCTGCTCCTTTGTTTGAGGGCTTACAGAACTCCAAGTCAAAGTAAAGTTTACAAACAGCGCCATCTGGTATCACCTCGTAGCAGTGCATCAACGACTGTGTGTAAGTCCTGAAAAACAAATTCAAACGACACGTTCTCACCCACGCACATCATCACATTTGAACAACCTCACAAAGTGCATTTACCTGTAGTAATGCCAGAGCTCACTGTAGCTGGTCACCAGGAAGATCCTCTGACCCAGAGATGCGTTTTCTTTTTCAAGTGCAAAAACATGTACAGCCTAGAGGGGAGGGGGGGCGGGGGGTGCAAGGCACCGCTGTCAACTTTCTCATGATTTCCACACACGATGTAACACGTCCAGCATCACAAAAGCCATGAGTGTTCCACCGTACCTCTTTGCAGCTCTGAGCGAAGCTGATGGCCAAACACTGACGAGGAAAGAGCTTCCACACGGAGGAAGGCTGGCACGGCCACAGGCGAGGCTTGTAGTGTGTGGCCAGAGGCTTCTGCTGGAACGACTGAGCAAGCTGCTCGACCTTCTTCAGCCGATCTCCCCACGTCGTCATCTTGAACTGCTGGTCGTCGATCACCAGCGTCTGACGCTTTATTGCACCCGCACTCTGTGACTTGCTCAAGGAACCTTCAGCAGAAGGGAACGTGGAGCTTCAGTCTTCCTTTCATCCTTCAACATGACAAAAAAAGCGGCATACGAACACCTGTTAGTATAAAATACTACAATTCAATGGCCCAGCAAATGAATACCACAGTGTGAACATAGTAGGATTTATTTTAGAACTGCTGTAATATTTGCGTTAGTATGCACTAACCGCCTTAAACATTTGTCCAAGTTTAACCAAATGCAACATTACAATGCAATGTTATAGAAACACAATAGTTTGAAATGTTGCACTTTTCATTTTCATGCTCATTTTTCTATAGAATTACCAAATTTTATAAATGATAAAAAATGGTCTTAAAATTACAAAATTATTGTTTATCAAAATCCTAATAAATCCAACAAAAGTAATTATGCGACAGTCCTACTGCCCTCTATTGAGGACAAAATATCAATATTAACTAACGTCATGTAAAGCTGTCATCAATCATCCCGTGTCAGAGTTACAAATCATTTACTATTTCCGTATTGCCGGGATGACGCCTTAACATGTTTTAATTTCTATTAGGTTTTCAAAAATAGAATCTGCAAAGTAGCATGTAATAAAGAAAGTGAAATGAAAGCAGAGTAAAGGTACAATAATATTCCCCACCACCAAAGCAGGGAAGTACAGGTATTTTAATAGTTAAAGTTCAAATTACTTGTGATTTTCAGCGCTAATCGTACGTTAAACTCACAATAAGTGACGTATTCATCTCCTCGCCTACTCAAAGAGTAAACTGGTCATAACTCACCACTGGTAATAATTCAAAGGTACAGTTGTCCACACTGTCATGTGTTTATGTCGATATTCCAGTTATTAGGTCCCGTCAGTTGAACAGTTTCAGCCTCAAAGTAGGTTTATTTTTGGCGCCTTCTGAACCGGAAATTGAAATACTTCCGGTTTCCGGTATAAGGAGGGATCGTTCCAGACAATAATATTTGTATTCACAGTAAATTATTGTCAATTGTTGATTAGGTACAACTAAGGCATAACGTATCCCGAAATATAATAGTGAACAGTTCTATTTTTTGATCATATTTTCATCTAAACGATTATTAATTATAATTAACAACTAAAAAGGTCAATTATTTTCAACATACACTGTCCCTCGAGGCAACTGCCTGGATATCGTTTAATAGGATGTTGTCGACCTAACATTAGTTTTCTGTTCCTCCCACTCAAACTGAACATGTATATATGAAGAGGGTTGTGTTACTGTTGTGTTGGCGGGTTCTTGCCAAATTGTGTTCCAGCATGTTATCAGCAAGGAAGGAAGGAAGGAAGGAAGGAGGGAGGAGGTGCTTAGGAAATGGAACATAACTCTAATCTAATCACGAGCCCAAATGAAAACACTAAATGCTCCAGCTTTGACTCACCAGAGTCAAGTTTCTGCACATTCAGGTGTCAATCTATTTATCCACACAAAAGCATAACACAAGAAGAAGAAGTTTCTCAACACCATGGCCCCCCAAGACATGCTGTTTCCTTCCACAGGAAAAAGGCGTTGCTGGTGTGATATGTTTTTACTTCCACAAAGACTGCTGAAAGTTATTTCGCCCATGCCCTCTGATGAACGCAGACTAGATTTTTGCTCCAAGGAATTGACTTTCCCTGCTTAAGGTATGTGCCTTTAAATATTTTCTTTTAGTTTTTATCATTAATCAATCATGGTTTTCACAGGTAAGAAGAAAAGTTTGGTGCAATATTCCAAAAGTGGAAAACTCACAATAGGAGATCAAGGGCTTGTCTATTTCTGTTTCAGGTCTGAACAGATAGAGGAAAAGAAACACCCTTAAAATGTGTGACATAAGAAAAATGCTTCTTGCTGCACTTCTTTTCTACTTCCAAGTAAGTTGTTGTTACTCTTAAAAATAGTAATTCAAACAAAGTTGAAAGATAATATTTTTTTGAAACTATATCTTAACTTCCGTACTCCATTAAAGGAGAACGCAGGGACCACAAAGCTGCTGGACATGGCCCCAGATGCTGTAGATTACGTGTACGATGGATGCCGTAAAGAGGCAACGGAGAAGTTTATCCATTCAGGACTCTTAGAACAAGAGCTAAAGAACAATGTGCCATTCAAGCATTCATGGGGTACAACTTGTTCAAAGCAGATCCCTGGAGGAACAAAAGAACATACTGCTGCACTGTCGGCATACGCTGATGGGAGTGAAGATTTTACAAATGCATTCGACAATGAAGTAAAGACACTGGGCGTAAACGTGAGCACCTATGAAGACCGCTTCCAATTCAAGTCCCTCCACTTTCTTCTCATGGATTCAATGTTTCTGCTGAGGACAAAAAAGTGCAAGCCTCTGTATTTTGTCAAGGAAAAAGAATATACGGCACAAAAGGGCTCAAAGGTGAGATTTGGAAAGTTCGTCAAAGTTGATTCAAGTTACAGTATGCTATGGAAAAATGATGATTTGGAGGGTATGGTCCTGTTTAATATCACTTCTTGCTTCTTTGTTAACCTGGGAAAGAACATTTGCAGTAAAGACAATAGCATGTCCCTCATATCTCCAGCTGAAGTATTCACTGTGGAAGCAGTAAATGAAAAAATAGACGATATAAATGAGTCTGAATACACAGAGATTGTTTTGCAACACTTACAACTGGGCAATGCGGACATCTGTTCCAGTCTGTCAGGGTAAGACATTTTCTTTATAACAATAATGATACATTAAATATTTTGTTCAACCCATGTTTATCAACAGTGTTATTGGAATAATGATTTTTAATATGATTTGTAAAAAGATATAACCTCTGATATTAACCTCACTGTTCCTTTCCATCTTTCTAGATCCCGAGCTAATGTCGCCTCCCAGTGGATTGTGGTGACGCTTGTGGCGTTATCTCTCTTGATCTTTAGCTTTTGAGAACAAATGAAAAACAATTAGCACGATGCTATTTCTGTTCTGCTCTGACACACACACTGTTTATCACCGTCATATCACTGTTTTTGAAAGGCTTAAAACACATTAACTTTATAACATCAGCAGATACTGTATATATGCTGGAATCAATCATTATGAGAAAGGTATTTCTTTTCTTTTCTTATTTACTTTTGGGGGGAATTTCGTATATTGGTCGGTTGAGGCTGACAAACATAATGGAAACTTGGTTTTGTCCTCAATTCATGTTTTAGTAAATCATTTTTTTCTTCTTGTGATAATGATAACAGCCGGAACATTTCCCAGAATTACAGCATGTGTTATGATTATGACAATATTGAGTGCAAAGTGGCTTCAGTAGAAGTTGCCACACACATAGAATGCTGTGTCGTCAAGAGGAGAATTGATTTTTTCATTTGTAAATGTAATGTGTTTATATAACTTGTAGTCTCCAATTCAGTAAATGTTTTACAGTTTTTATAGTTAATCTATATAGCATCTATCAATCTATAACACTCAAATAAACAATTCACCACAACGGCTATTTTTCTTTTTAAATTTAAACCTTTATTTAACTAGGAAAGTCCCATTGAGATTAAAAATGTATTTTACAAGGCCTGTGCAAGACAGGCAGCAACATAGACACACATAGTTACAAACAGAAAACACAGAATAAGACAAGTTAAAAGAAACTAAAGGTTTAAGTGACAGTGACGTAGAACATTTTTGAAAGCTTTATTTCCTTTATTTTAGATTTAAACGGAGGAACTGTTATTAGTTCTTAAATCATTATATTGTATGCATTATACACCACGACAAGGGCGCAGAGTACATAAAAGCCTCTTTTCCCATTTCCGTTCTGGCATTTGGGACGAGAAGCATAAAGTGGAAGTACAGGCTCTAATTTGAGTCTTTGTGGGTTTGAGTCTGCACCAAAACATCTTAACATTAAAACACATATAAAACATACAGTTACCTTTAAAAGCAACACATACTCACAGTAAGCAGTAACTCTTCTGAACTGTCCCAAAAAAGTGGATTTTAAAATAACAAAATTAACAGCAGCGAGCACTTGTGACTTCACAACCAACCAGGATCTCTTAATATCAGGTCGCTGATTTAAGGGCATCAATGCTGGGAGAGCAGCCGTAATACTGCAGATAATGATAAATGATCTGTTGGCATTAAATATATGTCTAACAAAAGCAGCTTAAAGTATATGATGATTACAAAGTATTTACTTGTATTTTTAATTGGCATATACAAATATATACTAATTGTCTTTATTATTAGGCTCAGAGTTGTGTCTTGACCTGCGTCCATGTGAACAAGTGCTCTTGTCTTTGCTGAGGATGACGGCGTCGACCCGAGTGAGGGTGCACATGGTGCTCTGGCGACCCGGGCGAAGTCTCGTGCTTCGCAGCTCCAGCTCGTCGTAGCTTGAAACCTGGACAAAGGGACACCAGCAGAAAACCCGCTTGAAGCCTGCCCGGAACCTGCAGCAAAAAAAAAAATCAACCCCTGCCAAGTAGTCATGGTACTGTGTACAAATACAGCATTCACATGTTGATGTTTCACGTTTTTTTACTCACCTGCTGTTGAGGCAGCAGTAGATGATGGGGTTGTACATGGTGGAGCTCATTGCCAGCCACAGCACTGACAGGTAAACCTGCTGGATGTACTTCCACTTGCTCAGACGCTTGTTGAGACCGGTTACAATGAAGTAGACGTGATAGGGCAGCCAGCAGAGGGCAAAGGTCACCACCACAATGATCATCATCTTTACCACCTGCGAGACGAAGGACATCAACACTAACATTAATAACAGGACAGCACAAGCGTGCCACATTGTAGCCAATAAGGGGTCGGTATGCTGGTATCAACACAGTCTGTTAAATGTTACGTGAATGCGTCTCAATGCATGATAATAAATCAAACGATTGACGTTTTTATTTTAAACATAAACGATGGTCTAATATATTTCTGACTGAGAGATTTCCCCTTTTGCCTCCATTTATCGCTGCGCTACAATATGTTGGATTCATGTTCATTTGGACATTTCAATTTGTGGAAAATAATTTGAATATTAAAAAAACATGAAAAATTTGAAAAATGAACCATAAATTTCACAACTGCTTGGAGCACGTCTGTGAACCCCCGGTTGAAGACCTCTGGAGAAGGTTAAAATACCAAGCTGACATTTGAGGAAATGCACATTCTAAGTTCTGTGGGTTCGTCACTATGGGATACTTTTCACAATACTAATTTGATAAAACATAAGCATTTTGAGTGGTGCCGTTTAAAATGTCAAAGTTATATGAAGCTTATGCACACTGGCTCAACAATAAAAAATATTTGTTCTATTTTCCAACGTTCTGCTCACAACGATGTTTCCATTCAATGCATCGGGAGAGGGAAAGGTCAGCAATGACGCATCAGGCCCGGCAGGCTCCAGGTAGGACAGATGAAAGAGCAGCACATGAGCTCATCAGTGTGTTGCAACCCAATGCAGAGCCGGGGGCGGCGGGGGTGACAGGGGGGGCGGGAGGGGTAAAGGCGCAGGATGCTATTATACCATCAGCTGAGGCTCACCTGCAGGCTGGAGACGAGACCCACTCCGTCTTATCTCTAGCCAAAATGGCATCTTGTCAGAGTGGCCCTTTGAATCATTGTCCTGCCATTGTATTGTAACCTTTGTTTCCTGACGTGTATAAATCTCTTTTATCTCTTGTGACCGCCAGCAATATGAACCTATGATGATGATTGTTTTTCGACAAAGCCTTTGGAAAGATTGTAAATGGCAAAGCCTGCACCTGTTACCGTCTCTATTTCTGTACACTGCATGTGAGTCTGCTTGTAGTGCAAAAGCAATATTATAAATGTAGGTAGAGCAGTTAACATATTTCGAGTAACTTTATTGTTTTGTAGTTATATCGTTGCTCATTTCATTAAACAGATTTTACAGAATACACTGGGTGGAATTGATGAGTGTAAATGTGCCAATGTTAAAAACAAGTTCATTAAAAAAAAGGAATCCTTCTGCAGTCTAAACCTTTCAGCTGACTCTCTTAATCCAGTGTGTTAATATTTGTGAGGCTTATCAATATGTTATTATACTCTAAGGAGTTTATCCATGGGCTGACTTTATTGATGTTCGTCATGACAGCTGTGATGACCTTAATCCTTGTTTAACCCAACTCTCACAGTCACAACTCTCAACTGCTGCAAAGCACAGTGCGCAGTCTGGCTGATGATGTCCATCTACCGCGGGACGATTCCCTCTGAATGTTTGTCTCCTCTTCGAGGCTGCGGTCGCAATTGTAAAAAGTTAAGTTACGTTTGCAAAGGTCTATTTTAACACATTCAATTCAATTAATTTTGCTTTGTATAGCTCAAAATTGCAACTTACAAAATTACAAACAGTCTGTGCGTCATCCTCTGATCCGAAACACCCACATCAACACACAAAAAACTCCCAAAACATGACTGTGCAGTTATATAAAGTGTCCTTGTTCTAAGGTATATGTTCTCTATGAAAAGAGGTTTTAATGATCAGAGCTCCACAGTGTGTTGAAACTATAGGCAGACTTTGTTAGAGAGTAAAAGGTTCAGATTTGTTTCTTTCTGTTCTGTATTTCCTACAGAAAGAGTGAGCACTTTTTAGCTCTTTAGAAGGCTTTGTTGGTTGGGCTACAACAGTTTCCACACCCTTTGGCAACCACAATTTTTGCCGATGCATGCCCCCCTGGATGCATGCACCAACATGGTTTCAGCCATTGCAAATTTGTGCTTGTTCTGAGTAAGATCTTTTTTCAACTACTTTCACAAAGAAAGGCAGATGCTTTCATCAGCAGTCCTTCTTCTCGCAACACACAACTGCAAATCAGCTAAGGCAGTCCTGTAACATATGATATGGAGACATGTTTAAGCATATCAGCCAGTCGCCTTTTCATGGAAAAGAACATTTAAAGACATTTAAAAAATTTGAAGAACATTTAATTTGGGAAAATCAGCATAATCTGCTTATATATACGGCTGTTTGCTTCCCCTCCCAAAGACACTTTGGGGAATGTGGCATTTACCTTCCTTTTAGCCCTGAGCTGTCCGTGATAGTTGTCTGATGAGTCTCCCGGGATCTCCCCTCCCCACAGAGTCACGCCCACGAGGGTGTAAGTGATGGCCATCACCACTAGGGGCAGCACGTAGACCAGAACAGTGACTATGATATGATACCTGCAAAAGTGAAAAAGAACATCATCACCAGAAAATATTTCAAATGGTGCGACAGTGACAAGCAGGATGAAAACAATGAAGGGTGACATGAGATAGGAAAGGGGTTGGCGGTGTTTCTCACATGAAGGGGTCGTCGGCCATGCGGGGCCAGGCCACGTAGCAGACGGTCCTGCGGGGGAGGGTCCGGGTGGTGGAGAAGTAGCAGAGAGGGAAGGCCAGAACCACGGCCAGACTCCAGATACAGACGATGACTCCGGTGGTGGCCTTCGCCGACAGACGGCGCTTCAGGGGATGGATGATGGCCATGTACCTGCAGGTCAGAGGTCAGAGTGTTGGAAAGTTTTTTTTCCAAACATTTTTCATCCTAATATTTTTTAATCTTTTTTTCAAAACATGTTTTGACCTTATTTTTTTACTTTTTTTTCATAACGTTTAGATTTTTTTTAAAGGCCGATAAGTCCGCAACCATCAAAGTCTAAGTACAAGTAAAAAAGCATTTCAGGTTAACAAAATCATTTCCGGCAGTTATTTGCTATTTTTTAAACCTTTAATAAAAACTGCGCATTTGTGTTAAAGCAATAAATAATATCTGGTTGCAATTACGTCTGTTTGCTCCCTAAAGAGACACACAAAGTAAATGAATAGAAAAGGTGTCTGTATGATGTAACTGCACTTGATGTCAATTATGGCATGCATTGGTCACCACTGACATCCCATCCATGTGATTCTGGGGTAAAAAGTGCATCTTCGGCTATTCTTTAAAGAGTTAAAGTTAAATGAGTGATTAGCCTTTTAGTTAAAGTTTTCTATTTTTTTAACAGAGGAACCAACATACTTTTAACAAAAGCATGTTTTGTTAGTAATTCTTTTTGGTTTGCACTGTTAATGGATCCTTCTTCATACGGAGGTCTTGACTCATACTTTCATTGAGAGCACATCAACAATTGAAAAATAAATAAATGTTGCAAACTAAAAGTGAACTCACCCTTTTGTTCATTTATGCCAAAACTACTGTGAAAGGTAAAATATCTCATTCTATGTTGACTAAAAGTCACTCACTAAAAATGTAACCACTCATCTCCCATTGTCGGCATCTTTTATAAATCTAATATTTATGAACAGACTTAATTTGTTTTTAGAACTGAATATATTTGATTTTACTCAAGCAAACTTGTGACCTCTTTGTAATGTTTGATACTTCTATGGAAACATCAACAAATGATTCCTCCGGTGACACGTCCACGCACACAATACGATCTCATCTTCTGCATACCTGTCGATGGCGATGGCGGTCATGGAGTAGATGCTGGCGAACACCGCAGTGACCGGGAAGAAGTTGTGAAACCTGCAGTACACCTCTCCGAAGTACCACTCTCCGTGAGCCGCGTAGATGAAGTTGATGAGCGTGTTGAAAGCAGCCATGGAAACATCGGAGAAAGCCAAGTTCAGCAGGAAATAATTGGTGCCGGTTCTCATCCGCTTGTGCGCCAGGATAATCCAAATCACAATCAAGTTTCCAAAAACGGCCACTGCCAGCACCGTGCTGTAAGCCACCGACCACAGGCCGATGCGCCACAGCGGCTGCACGAACTGATTGGTCAGGTTTCTGGTTGGGGAGGACTCATTCCCGGCGGAGGCCATTCCTCAAGTGTCTGCTGTCTGGTGCGCTTCAGTCGGCTCTGGACGTACGAGGTGGAGTTGTGACATGTGACCAGAGAGGCTTGGCAAGTGGTCCTGATGCAGCCGCATCGCTCACACTGACACGCTGCAGAGGAGGATAAAGAAAGAAAATGAATTCAGGTTTCTCTCTCTCTCTCTCTCTCTCTCTCTCTCTCTCTCTCTCTCTCTCTCTCTCTCTCTCTCTCTCTCTCTCGTTTTTTACATAGTCTGGTACAATCCCTGATCTACCAATGGCTGCCAAACTGATATATCAGGACAAGCTGGCTATTTAAAAAGCAACATTCATATTAATATGTATTTCATCTGATGATTATTTTCTTTATTAGCCAATTTCTTGATTGGTTGATTAGGACAAAGTGAGAAATATTACCAAAAGGTTAAACCTCTCCATTGTTCAAATGGATTATAAATAAGTAAATATAATTCAAAGTAAAAGCAGCAAATGCTCCAAATAAATCTCAAAATATTTGCAAATATATTTGTAATATAAATAAATATAATTGACTAATCAATAAATCATTCCAATTGTATTTGCATGTATTGCTTAATGTTGGGGGTGAGAAATCAGAGGTGGTTCTGGAAGGATTACCTGTGTAACCCTCAGTCATCCAAAGCTTCAATCAGCTGTTTATGCAGAACATGATACGTGATTTTGTTGTGAGTTTTATTATTATTTATTATTTCATTATATCCAACTTGGCACTATTATTGCATTCCATTACAGACAGTGTGATCAAAACCAAATTTGATGGATATTAGGAAATATACTGAGTGCTTTGACGCTGACAGTATTGGTGACTATTGTGACATTCATAAATTGTATTTTCCTCATGGGGGAAACTGCCAATTAGCTCAAAGTGTCCCTGCTGTGCTTGTTTTTATGAGCCGCATTGTATAGCGTGTGGTTGCATTTCGTTCTGGCATTCATTTATTTATTGTGTGCATTTATTGTGCGGCCTCCCGTACATGAAGCGTCATCTTAAGACACAGAAGTACTCATTTTGAGTTCATAGGGGAGGCTCCTCAGAGCACACAAACACATACAAACTGTGCATGCTCGGAAAAGAACATAAAAAGGTCAAAAAGTCTGTTTCCTCCCAGCAAGACCTCATTACCCAGAGGCCCCCTCTTCTGGGCCACTCCCTGTTTAAAATGTCAGCGTTCAAGCATCTTCTAAACAAAACCTGTTTCCTCATATTAAAAAAGGTTGTGGCCTATTATAGGTAACGTGAAAATATCATTAGCTGCATCAAAAAAAAAAATCTGTATGAATAATTCAGTCATTGGTAAATCAAAGGGGGGCTGGTGTCTGTGTGTAACCGGAGGAAGTTTAATCTGTGTAAAGCAAACAGGGAAATTGATTGACAAAGTGAGTTTAATACATTCAATACAAACCTGTGGAGGAAAGCAAATTTGTACGGATGTTTTATGTCACCAGTAATCAGCTGTTTATTTGTTGGTGCTAGTTGTTGTAGTTGTTGAGATCAAATTGAGATGTGTAAGATTACATCTTTTCTGAAACATTTACTGAAACAGAATAGTTTTTCTTTATTTATTGTTCCAACAGATGAAGTTGTATAGTATACATGATAAAGTATTGTTGTTCTGCAAGCTATTTTATTTTACTCTTTAAACTACAATGCTTTAGTCAGGTTTTATCATCATTTGTATGCTTCATAGTTTTAGTCTATTTATTCCTGCTGCTCGCCAAAAAAGTCATAATGTATTTTTTTAGCTACACGTTTGTTTAGTTTTAGTCAAATGTCTTCATGTCCTATCAGAATATGTAAGTCAGCAAATGGGAACATTTTGATGAAATGGCAGAGAAAATGTGAGGACGAGACAGACACAGAGGGAGCGAGAAAGAGACATAGAGAGATTGAACGAGTGAGAGAAAAGCGGCTTATGATCAAGTGACTGATCCGTCAGGATTACACGTCTAAATGGAGTTAGTGACTTGCCTTTAGAGAGAGTGAGAGAAATAGAAGAGTCTGGAGGGTTTATACGGAGGGGAATTATTTGAAAGATGTGAGGTAATCCATATTTTAACATTTAGTAGACTAGCAAGCAGTATCCCTCCAACGGGTCACATGATGCATCTGAGGGTTAAAAGGATGATAGGATGATTAAAGAGGCGTAGAGGTTGTAATACAGAGAGAAGAGACAATAGAACACCTGACGACACACATGGTTCATATGAAAGAGTGATAGAACGAAACGTGAACAGAATGGGAAACCCGGTTGGGGACATCTGGAAGAATTCAGCCAAGCAGCTTCTCTCGTTGTGGTAGATTTTACTTTCAGATCACAAGTCAAGTATCAGCTCTGCGTTTGCAAAGGCAGGAGCCGCTCTTTCGGCCCGCAGGCCGGAGGAACAGCTGACTAACGTCAGAGAAGAACATTACGTTTTATGTTTCTCGTTAGATAAAAACTGGCGTGGAGGAGGAGCAGGTCCTCCCGCCGCAACACAAGATCCAATCGTGCACAATGTGTGGTCTCCTAACATTAACGTAAACATAAGGAACAACGCGTGAGTGTCGTATGGTGGTTGGTGTGTGTCGAGCTCTCATCCTTATCAGACCTGCGTCTGCCTGGTTGGCACTCTGACCTCGCGAGACAGTGACTCCCTAGATGAGCACTATAAAAGAGCTTCTGATCACCAAGGGTCTCAAGCAAAGAAAGAAACGAACAGCTGAAGGTAAGACATGAATACTACTGAAGCTCCTGCATTAGTGAAGCATAATGAGGCATGCTGGGTTGTTGTTGTTGTTGCTGTTTTTGCTGATGTTGTTGTTGTCATCAAAGTTGCACCCAGCCCACGAGGCACTCAGTGCCGGTTCCTTTTACATCTCCTTAAAATGTCAAACTGCCTGAAATTTGAGCTGAATAACAGAGAGAGGAGGTCCTTAGCCAAGACTAGAAGAAAAACAAGGAAGGAGGACGCAGGACTTTAAAACTGTTTGTTCAAGAAAAGCACACACCTTTGTATTTACTGTGTTTGAGTCGGTGTGCGTTCCATGGCTCTGATTGGGAAGTAGCTCGCTTTACTTTACTTTCGCTGGCAGGTTATGAAACACTGAAGGGCTGCCCTTGCAACAACGTCCCTCCAAGTTCAAAGGTCGCTGAAGCCCAGTCAGTTGGCAGAGGTAGATTTTGAAAGAAAGGTAAGACGTGAATGCTGTTCCTGGCAAATACCAATACCCTTTTTCGTTGTTAGAAAGGATTCATGCTTTCTTTATTAAGTGACCGTGTAACCAAAAAAACAGTAACAGCCTGCAGACACTCAGCGGGTTGTAAAAAAGGCTGCACTTTGATCCTCTGTGCCTGCGCGTTCTCATTACACTGTTATATCTGTGAACATTTCGCAGTACTTTTTCGCTGGGGGTTTTCTAAGGCATTTCTCTTTTTGAATTTGTGGTCTACTGTTGACGTTGCATTGAAAAGCATGAACATGAGACGTGAAATGACATCATGCAGCAGACTCTCATTCATGCACAGTGAAATAAATGATTATTTTTCAGTAAACAAACCATGTTACATTTTTTAACTAAATGTAAGAATATAAATGATTACTAACATATCATCACATCATAATGACGCGTAAATTGTTCAGTAAAGTACCTCCTTTGTCAACAATTATTACTTTTCCTAAGTAAGCATATTTTATATTAATACAAAATTATTTAACCATTCTGTCATTATCTACCTCCACTTATGGGTTCTAACATTAAACAAACAAACACTTCTCGCTTATTTAGTTAGAACCTTTAACATTAACGTTAAATGGTTAAGTGTTACAATGAGAATATGTTAAAAAAAATGAAAAATGTGAAAACGATGTATGAAGTTGAATAAAATTAGTCTTAAGGGAGACGGAAAGTAGGACGATGAGTTTGCATCATAAGTCGGGGCCTCAAACAGCAGATGTGGGACCCCTGTGGTTTTTAGCCGGACCGAATGAATGCAGGGCCGAACACCATGGAGAGAAGACGGCAGCAAATATCTGTATTTAGAGGTTAACAAACACACCGGGGTCTTCTTCAATTTGATTTTGAGTCGCTGAGTCACTTATTAAATTAAATTACTCACTGAATATAATCCAGCAATACCTTTGCACTTTTCAACTCAGTTCCTGGCTAATGGTTAATTTCCATACCGGTAACAGGTTCCTCTTGTCGGTCTGGTTCGCGTTTAAACACAACTCCATGAATGTGTGCCTTCACTTGTAAACTGGTCGGCTTGCTGAGAGGTCGGTCGGGGTTAGAACAAAGAACAACACCGTTCTAACATCTAACATTATTTCCTATCGGCAGATGGAGCACGTCTCTTTCTTGCCGCTGTCCCGTTTTGCTGTTTGTGGCGGGACGCATGGCAATGAGATGTCGGGGGTCTACATGGTGAGAGAAATGCAGAGACAGAAGGCTGATCGGACGGGATCGGTTTCTGTAACAAGCGTCCTATCAAACCCGCCGGCTGTGGATGCCTGCAGGAGATACATGGAAACAGATCTAAATCGCTGCTTCACTGATGCCTTACTGAGGTAAGTCTCCTCACAGCTTTAACGTGGATAGTTTAAAAGATTAACTTTACATTTGGAAAAACTGTAAAGTGCTGTAAATAGTATGCATGTATAAGGCAACCCATTGCATGTTGTTGATCCCAGTGGCCCCACAACAGACGACACGCCCTACGAGTTGAGACGCGGCCGCGAGCTGAACGCTCAGCTCGGGCCCAAGGGGAGCCGAGAGGCCGTGGATCTGCTCTGCGACATCCACAACACCACCGCCAACATGGCCGTGTGTCTCATCTTCTACTCCTTTGACTGGATCGCACTTCATATTTACAAATACATACAGGTAGGAGCTTCTTTCAGACACATATTTTAAGGGATTGCGGCCTTCTGGCTTTGACTGTGATGATGTCGGAGATTTTCGAACAACAAATGTAGAGCACAAAGTAGTGGAACTGTGGGTACTTGTGTCAATGTTCAACTGCATGAACCGTAATGTTACTGCAAAAACGGCATCAACACGACACGGCAATGCATATCGTAGTGATCAATAAGGAAGTGTCCTAGAAATGTTAATTGTTATATACGTGAAAACAGAAGAAGAAATGATTACATTCGGGCTCATTTTAGAATAGCTTAAATATATAAAAGCTCAGATAGAACTAAAACAATTCCTCAACCTCTTCCAATTACAAATACCACATGGTTTTATACAAGAACGCGGTTATAATGATTACAATTTATATACACAATATTTAAGAGATTAAATCGAAAGCATTCAAGTGCTGTAAATAACTCACCTGTCCGGTCTTCAGAGCAAGATGACCTCTGCACCTGTGAGAGCCCTCTGTCTTAATGAACCACCTTCTGAAGCCTATTCTCTGGAGTCAGTAGGAAAACATGGAATCGGTAAGTGTGTATCACTATGTCTGCGTCTTAATAATTGATCCGATTAAAGTTGTTCTCTTCAGCGATAGAAGTCGGCCCTCAGCCCACCGGAGTCGTCAGAGCCGATATCTTTAACATGGTGAAAGAGGCAGTGGATCTCACGATAGAATGGCTTCAGAAATTTAATTCTGGTAAGAAACAACTCCGCAGGTCAGATCATTAAACTCTGTGTTTCAATTTTTCAAGTTTATTGATCCGCTGTTGTCTTGAATTGATCTATACGTTAACATTTAGAACAGTATATTTTCATCTTTGCCTGTCATTGATTTAAATATTTACTCTTCTTTGCCAGTTGTAACCCTGATTTGGAAAAGTTTTCTACAAATACAGTGTTGCATATTTAGTTACTGATCCCTCGTGATGTCTAGCCATGTTTCTTTATTTGATTTTACCGGCACATGTTTTAGCAATACAAGGAGCAATGCAGCACAAATCCGAGGAGGCAGATATCCAAATCTGTTTGGCAATATATCGCTTAGAGATCAAATACTTTAACGACAGACACATTTAAAAGACCTCAAATGCTCATCTCAGCCTCCCTGGATACACCAGCAACCACACGTCTTACTTTACTTTACCAACAGGAAGTACTTTTGAAGGAGGTGAAGTGGAGGCTTACACGCCGGTGGGAAGTGTGGACTACCCAAGGGATCCTACAACGGGGGAAATCACTGCCGCCATCCACCCACAGCTGCAGGTAGAGGACGACGGCATCAGCAGGAAAGGCACTCACACACAAGCTTTCCCCCTAAAGCCACTATGATCCGTCTCATAAAGTATCAAGTGACAATATAGAGGGGTCACATAGAACTACAGAGTTTACTAAAGATAATTTCTCTCCATAACGACTAAGTGAACACGTAAATAATGCTAAAAGGTTTGCAGCTTAAAAAGGTGATTAAAAAGCAGCCCGTGATGTGTGATGATTAAGCTCGGCGAGCGGTTTGTCTTTCTCCAGGACAATGACTTCAAGGTTCTCCGTCCAGGCGACCCCGTGTTCCAGTTATTTTCTGGGGAGACGGTGAAGCATGAGGGAGACGACCTCTACCCTCTCTTTGTGAACGAATGTGCCTACTATGAGAAAAAAGTTGCCTTCAAGTTGACCAAAAAGATCACTGTGACCTTGCCGTCTGTGGGTGTGAAGAAGGACTGAGAGGACGTGGACATAGATTCTAATTCTAATCAACAAATTAAAAGTGTACATGCATAATCGTTTTTAATCTCAAATATTTTCATCTCAAATGAGGAAATCTACAACAGTAATGATGAGTAGATATATTCTACTGGTGCAGGACACAAACAACTGGATTACCTCCTCATTACTTTATGGCTTTCCAATACAGCAGCTCTGTAAGAGTGAACCTCAGCGGCTTTAAAGAGGAGGCTCAATTGAAATGCCAGAGAGACTGGAGTTATAATCCTCCACCTGCTGCATACAACTGAACTATGACATGGTTCTTTTTTTTCGCACTGTGGCAATGATGCAAAATACTATTTGAATAAATGGAAACATGGATCCCTTTTAATTATGAAAGTGTTTTTTTTTTACCTTGAGTTTGAAAAACTAGGCGGACCGCTTTGGTATTTACGTTGAAAACCTAATTTAGCATTTCGACATTACTAATTGACACTGAGCTGAGGCTGAAGGGAATGTCATTAATTTCGCTAGAAATAGCAACTTTTATATACTTTCCCTTCTAGAGGTTTTACTAATTCTATAACACCAGATCACACACAAGGTCAGACGTCCTCAAATGTTGAATTTATCCATTCAGAAACAGGTGCTGTGCTTCAGAATACATACAAAACATTTTGAAAATCCATGTTGTATTCACATCAGGCAAATAACAAAACCCGGTGACACAAAAAAAAAATCACAATTTGTTTTCTGGTGCCATGAAATATATTTCAGACCCACAATAGAGTAACAAATGAATTTACTAAAGGCAGATGTAGTTTCACGAGGATTTAGCAAATTGTTATCCAAGCTACTAGTATTCCCTGACTGAAGGTTTATTTTATGCTACATCTGATATTTGGCAGTTAACTGAGCTTTAAAAAGGAACAGAACATTTGAACTCGCTCAACAAGAAGTGGCAGTAGTATAATCTGGGCATGAAACATTAGAAATCAAACATTACAAAGAGGTCACAAGTTTGCTTGAGTAAAATCAAATATATTCAGTTCTAAAAACAAATTAAGTCTGTTCAGAAATATTAGATTTATAAAAGATGCCGACAATGGGAGATGAGTGGTTACATTTTTAGTGAGTGACCTTTAGTCAACATGTACCACAGACTGAAACCAACAATTACCACAGATGACAAAAGGTTCACCTTAGAATGCACAGCAAAGGCTTAATATTTAAGAATATCCCAATATAAATCTACACAATAACAAATAAAAATAGAAGCTTGAGTAATAATATTTGGCATGCACTAACAAGAGAAAGCTACCCTGATACCAGCATGTCAGAAATGTGTGTGCAGGTTCATAATCTACAAGTAATTTAAGGTCAATGTGGTGAGCAGCTTTAGAAGCAATGGCATTTAAAAGTACAGCACAGTAACACGTTAACACCGGGGATTACAAATGATCCACAACATAGGGGTGTTAAAATAAGAGCATGCTTTGGGTAAGATTCAGGTTACAAATGCTAGAAAACACCATTCCAAAAGGTATTAAACCCCTAAATGATAAGCACTTGTGATGATCAGGTGTAAACTGGATGACTGTATTTATGCAAAGAACTGAGATATCGTGTAATTGTTTTGTTTTCTAAAGACTGTTGCGGAAGAACTGAAACGTTGCAACCAGTGCAGTTCTTTCTTAATCAGAAACCTTATTTTTATACTGAGGCCAGTAGGTGGTTTTAAGGTAAGCGGTTGTAGTGGTCCCTCTTTAAGCTACCCTGTAAGCAGTCATGCGGGTGTAGTTTGTGCGGTGACTCCTGGCCGCCCAAAGGAACAAAGCAGCTGCCATCATCTGCAGAGGAAAGGAGATGAGAGCAAGGTAGAGGGACCAGCCCAACGAGCCCTCCACCTCTTTTGGGCGGAGGGAATACAATTCCTCCCCGGCCAGGAAACAGCAGACGGTGCCCAAAGTGCACAGACCTGATGAGTAGAAGAGAGACGTAGTAGATGAACACCACGGGAAAGTGCATCTGAAGCACCACATTGTTTGCATAGGTGGGATGACAGGTGTTGTGTCATCTGAAACTAAGCTATAAAAAAAAAATCACAGAAGATTGCTGAAGCCAATGTAAATCTCTATTGTGTCAGTTGTGGTCTTTGGCATTTCCCTCACCTGCGAGTAGATGGAGGACTCCCACACCCAAGGTAGGGGTGAAGCTGCGGCACAGGCAGGCACAGACCCCAACCAGGCCGGCAAGAAACACCAAAGCCAGAGAGACCAAGGGCAAGAGAAACTGGCACCTCCACAAGTCTGAAAATAAGACATGAAACATCAACTACAAAACTACAAAAAGCTACAGAGAAAAACATTGTTCAAAAGAGGTCAGGCACATGTTTAAAGCAAGGTAGATGCACTTCTTGAGGAGCACATTCTAAGAGAAATTCTATGAGAAACAGAGGTTTTCCTGATGCAAAAATCGTATCTGAATGCAGTACTTTACAGCATGTGCTTAACAATCTCTCACTAACAACGTTTTTCAACCTGACATTTTTTCTAGCTAAACATCACTTTCCAATCAAAATTGTATTTTCTGAATAGTCTTGAATAGGAGGCTTTTAAGTCTGGTGAAACTTGGTCAAAATAAATGCAGGTGAACAGAAGACCTAAACACAATTGTGTAATCTACAAACACAAGAGGAAAGACGAGACTAACATGTTCTCAGCAGATCTTCTTCGCTGTTATTGTTTTCCTGGTATTTGTATTTTGGGCTGAATTGCTGAGGAAGAGTGAAACTCACACACCGCGTCTCCATCCTTGGCTCTAGAGTCAGAATCAGAAAGCGGATATTTGTAATTTCATCAATAGTGCAGTAGTTATGAGAGTTGACTCAACTTGTCCTTTAAAGTGTCACCCAGAGGTCATTTTCAAACTAGACAAAACAAGTTTTTTACCGTTTAAAATAATGCTGTGTTTCTGCTTGAGCTGGTGTTTCAGCTTCTACATACTATTAAATGAAATATTATTCGTGTCTTCTTAATCACTATAAAATCAATCAATCATGCAACGGCACATATTTGAGCCTGTGAAATGTTTAGATTCAAACTATGATTTCAAATAAATCATTGCATGCACATCCTGAAAGGTCTAGCAAATAGCGTGGGATTGAAGATGTGAATGACTTTGAAAATAAGAGGTGTTAGCAAAGCTGTGGAGATGTAGTATGTACGTACCCGGCTCTTTGAACCAGTATGACTCGCTGGGCACCAGTATGCACCTCCACCACAGTCCCAGTGTGCCGTTCAGGCGGTACATGGTGTCCCGGTAAGTCTTCTCATCAAACTCCCCATCGGTGAACTCCTTAAACTCGGAGGCGTTGCTCCCGTTGGGTTTAACAAGTGGCCTGCTGTACTGGTACCAGTGCTGAGTTCCCACAGCCACGGAGAGGTAGACTGTGGCCAGCAGGCTCAGCACAGAGCCGATGACCAGAGCTGTAGCATAGCGATTGTCTACCATGGTCTGGATGAGGGTAGTTCGTGTTTAAAAAGAATACAACTGATGTTAAATGCAAAATAAGATTGGCTTTTAAAGTGGGCTGGTTAAAAAATAATGTATTTCCGCTTGGTGTTTAGGCAGCGCAGCATGTCGGTTAACTATTTTCAAGTATTATGACAGTGAAAGTATGTCAAAATATGATGGCTTAAATGTAGCAAAATAAACAATGTCAGAAACACAGATGCGTTCACAACCTGCCGAAGAAGAGAAGATACACACAGTATGATGTTAAGCTACTTAAAGGTTAACTCAACCGATTACATTCTGTTTTCCTGGTAACAAGTTCCAGTCGGTGTCGTTAGCTTGTTAGGAACACTACAGCGGTTTCATACAGTTAATAATCACAATAAAGGCAGCTTCCTCAACTAAATTTGCATCATACTAGCTAACGTTAGCTACGGCTAATTATAGTTAGCCACAACTGTGCAAGTACGAGCCATTTTAACTGGCAGCTAACGTTAGCTAATGCTAATAATAATTAGCCACAGCTGTATAGGTATGAGACATTAAACGTTAGCGGACAACTAATGTTGAACGTCTTCTTTCTTTCTTGTCTTACCTAATTTCAGGACAAAACTTGTAACATTAGATATTTGCGTTTTATTTGTTCTACTCGTGAAATCTCAAGCAGGCCTCCGCCCACTTTATTCTACGTTTTTTTTTTTCCTTCTTCTATATGACTTTTGTCGTTTGGCATCCACCGTGTTAGTGACGTTACCGCCACCTTGTGTTGGGAAGGGAGGAGTAGAAACCCAATCATATCCAATTATTCTGAATAAATGAATACAAATAATAATACTCATTTAAAAGAGGACATTAGATGCATCGGTAGTGCTTTGGGAGATCATTCTTTTCATATTAAATAGTTTATTCTATTTCTACTTAATATCGATTGACCTGTTGGATGGATTAAATTGGTCTGGTAAAATATAAAAAATATAAAACATAAATATCAATTATTATAAAATACTGTAGTACAAAAAAGGCAAATATATGATTGTGTGTGGAAATAGTGTAAATATAATATAGTTTATGTAAAGTGTCCTCTCCAGTACATATCTCATCATTAAAAAGAACATTTGTTATATTTAGTTGTTTAATTGATCAAAAAGGATTTAATTTATTGTTATATTAGATATTTTGGGGGATTATATGTAGTTCCAAGTTATTATTCGGAGACTGCATGGTAAAAACGCATTGCTGCCATCAACACTAAATGAAACTACTCATGTTTGGTAAAAATTGAACAGCTCATATTCGCAGGTCTTATGATGTGGATGATCCTTCATTACAATCTTCTGCGCCACATTATCTAGTTTCTCCATCTTTACTGCAAGGCTTATCTCTTTCTCATGGTGACACATATAATTGGCATATGGTCAAAAGTCAAGAGTATTAATAAACACACCTTTTCCATTTATTGTAGGCATTAAATCAGACATGTAAATAAAAATAATTTCAAAGCAAAATGTCAGCAGTCCCACAAAGCACCTGTGGTTGGACACAGTATTTCCGCCGTTATGTAGAATCAGAAAGGTGGAGACGCCTACAGTTGATGGGTACTGACATTATTTGGCAAAAAACACTTCATGTTTCATAGAGACACATTCAATCACTGATGTTGTGATGCAAATCAACCTACCCTCACATATTATATCTTTTTTTTTTAAAAGTCCCTGTTGAAAAACATCAAGCCCACACAAGTGCTGATTTGTGTTTGAATATCAGCAAATAGAGTAGTGCAAATATATTAATTTTGAGTTGCAGCGAGTACCCTTCTTATTAAACCAAATCCTCTTTACTGAAGAGCCTCCTTTGCCATTTGCCCTGAGACTGGACCGTTGCATTCAGGACGGGGGTGGCAGTAAACTCCACACTGCATGGTCCTGAGCTGCAGGGAGCCTCTTCCAGCTCCAGGACAGTCACGTTGTTGGGTGCAGCCGTGCTGAGGATGTTGGCAGGTACAAAAAGTGTCACCTGAGGGCCTCGGGTCGGCCAGTAACGGCCCAAGTTAAAGCCGTTGATCCAAACCTGCCCCTGAAGAGAAAATAACAGGAACTAGTTATTAGTCAACAGTATCAGTATAGAGTTGCAATTGCGCAATACGTCTTTTGTGACATTACAAAAACCCAGCAAACTCAGTAAAGCAGTCATTGATTTCACTTAACTAAACCCATGTTAAAAAAAAAAAACATACATTCAAACGGCATGTAATGTATCAGTACTTTTATTGTTGTAATCTTCAATGAATTGATTGAATTCCTTGCAATCTTTAACTAAATAATAGGAAAATGCTTGGTAGACATGCCTTCCTCCATTTGGGTAGCTGGATGTAGGTGTCCTGGGGAAGGTCTGGGATGCCGTCAGGGATGATGAAGCTTCCTGCGTAGAAAGCTGGCAGGTAGAGAGCGAGAGGCTGCGGTGAGTCGGTTGGTCTCATTTCATCGAGAAGACCCTGACGGACCGCTTCATCGATGCTGAGGCTGTACATGGTCCAACCAGTCAGCGTATCCTTCCCCAAAGTCAGGTTGGTTACCAGGCCCTGGGAAGTATTCATTAAAAAAAAAAAATAATAATTTAGTTGCAGTTTAATTTACTAATAAACCTTTTAAGGCTTTCAAAAACAGCTAAAATATATCAGTAAAGCCTTTTGACATGAAAATCTCAAAGAAGAAAAACGTAGCTGGAAATACACCTTAAAGTCGTTGATGTGACTTCCGTAGTTGATCCGGCCCATATTCTCAACCAGTATGTCCACCCGACTGCCAGCTTTCCCAGTCACGTTGACAGTTATGACTTTGTTCCTTTCAAGAATCCCCACAGCCACCTAGAGAGGAAATCAGCATGATTCAATCAGAAAGAATCCGTTTGCTACATTTTCATCTAGAACGAGACATCATGTTCACACTTCTTTATACCAGTGTGGACACTCAACGGACTCAAAATCACTTATTTCAGATTGTACCAGTGCAGCCAACACTGCACGAGTTCAACTCGTCTGGTTGATGAGCAATGACAACAAAAAGCCCCGTGCGTGGGCCTGCGATAGTAACCCCCCCCCCCCCCCGACTCACCCCGTCCACTGACACATACGCTCTGTCGTGGACGCCGTTCAGTGGAGACGACAGTGGAGTTGGTGTGTTGCAGTTTACAGGCAGAGAGGTCCTGTAGAGCACATAACCAAAGGCCTGGAAAAAAAAAAAAAAAAAAGGAGGGACAAATGGGCAAGGGAGGCGTTTTACACACCGCAAAAAAAGGAGAGGTTTGTATCACATGTCAAATTAATGTTGTTTTTTTAATTAAATGAAAAAGACGAAAGCATGAAAGGACACCTGGTTGAGCTCAATGAAGGTCTGAGGATATTTGCTTGCGACGGGGCCGGAGAAAGACAGTGTTTCTAAAGCATCGGATAGCGCCTGGAGCTGTGGTGGCACAGGGATGCTTTTTAGTAGTAGTAGTAGTTTTTAGTAAATCCTGTGACAAAAAATATTTGAATGTTATGTTCATAGGAAACAGTGTCCGCTGCCTGCTTACCTTTTTCATCCCAACAGTCCCGTATGCGTACTTGGGAGTTGTTGGTGGTATCGGTCCCGCAGGTATCTTATGGTACTGTGGTGAAAAAATGCACTCATTCTCCCAGATGACATATACTCCACTGCACATATGTAAAAAAAAAAACATTTAAATGTAATAATGCCATTAAATGTTATGCTAAACAGCTGAAGCAATACCGAGAAGCAAAATGAGAGGCCCGCGCTCGTGTTCTCACCAATTTGATCACTTCTCGAATAGCAAAGTACTTCTGTGTGAGGTCCCCGGCCTCTGTGAGCGGGGCGTCGTAGTCGTAGCTCGTGGGCTGCGCGCCGTATGGATCGTTGGCCCCTGAGATGCCGGGAGAGTAAGTCAATCATTTCAAAAACACAATTCGTTGTCTTCTCATCTCAACTAGTGCGTTGAAGTGCACTCACCATTCCAGTATCCAAAGTTTGTCCCTCCTATGAACATGTAACTGCGGGGGGGATAAATTGACGTGAAACACAGACAGCAATAAAGCGCACACGGTTTTAAGTAAACCTTCATTTCAGCGGTCACTAAATTAGACTCACAGGTTGACGTTCGCTCCCAGGGCGAGCATCTCGTTGAGGGACTTCGCCACGGCGGCAGACGGCACCACGGAATGAGCGGACCCCCAGTGGTCCAGCCAGCCGGTGTAAAATTCAGAGTTCACCTGTTCGCAGAGCGAGAGACCCCATGAATGCCCCGAGAGAAAATGCAGTGGGGTTTTAATTTAAAAAAAGAAGTCACAAACTGCTTTGAGAGAAAATGCTTGCCAGAGGTCCGCGAGGTTCAGCGTGTCTCTGAGCATCGAAGGCAGCGGTTACATTTGCGCCTAACGGGATCAGAACACACAAAGATAAGCGCACGAGTTGAGGAGATCTGTGTGTGACTTGCCCTTGTGACTGCTGACTAATCTAGCATATGATGAAGTAAATGTGGAAAAAGAGGAAAATTGTTTAGGTACTGTAAACCGGTCGGTCAGTCAATTCTCTGGTCAATGTACCAGCATCGTTTAAAGGACAACATGCATTAACGAACATGCGTATTGTATTTGTTCTTCCCATTTAACCGTCAAATTAGAAGAACATCCGGAACTTTACCCAACGATCAACATTTTTGTAGTAAATCGCTTTGCGCTGCCTGGACTCCCGAAAACCGACCTGGCCCAAAGTCGACGGTGGCGTAGAGGCCCTGTATCGAGCCGCACTTGAGGTATCTGAGCCCAGCTCCGTCCGTGGTAAAGAGCACCACCTCCTCGCCGAGGTGAGACCGGAACAGCGCCGTCAGGTGGCGCATGTAGTTGTAGTCGCAGGCGGAATAACTGCCGTATTCATTCTCCACCTACCAAACGCAGCCAAAAGTCATTGGGGGATGATTGTTTTTCTTCTCATGGAATCATGTTCTGTAATGAAAAGTATTGCAGGTGAGACTCACCTGTACAGTGATTATAGGACCCCCATTCTGGTAAAGAAAAGCCTTCATCATTGGCAGCAACTTCCCCATCCACTTATCTACCGCTGCGATGTAATCTGGCACAAAGAAAATCGTCAGAGTTGTACTGCAGCGCGTAACCATGGTTACATGTCATCATTCAACCGTTTTTTTCTTTGATCCTCACCTGCATCGGAGGACCGCAGCACAATGTCCTTCTTCCTGAGCAGCCAGGCAGGCAGCCCCCCCTGGTTGACACAAAAACAAAAGCAATGGCAAAGGGCCACCCATGAAAAATAACCTCATCTAGTTTAAAGTGATAATGACCTTATTGTCTATGTTTTTGGGAAGCATTGTCATTCGAACCAAAACAGATATTTAGGGGGTGATCCTGAAATCTTTGAGGTGGAAGGAAAATTACACTGTCTACATGCCGTACTCTGATTACTAGGCTGACATTAATTGTGTCTTAGTTACTCAAAACACAAGGTGACTAAAAATGCAAAAAATAAATCAATTTTGGCGACCAAAACGCATTGAGCTGAAATGTTGAGCTGTTGATCACAAGTTAAAAGGTCTCCGTTTAGCAGCACAAGGCCCACTAAAAGTGATATCATGTGACAGTTAGAATTACTAATGAATGACTGTTTAAGCAGCAGCTTAATGGATCAGTTGGTTGAGGTTGAGATGATTAACCAGTTTATTTATTTGTTTGGTAGTTCAGCCTATAAATGCATCACATGAGAAGTTGACCGGATGGTTTATGCGTATACTCTTGATCTTAAAAAGTATTAGTAGCTATACAATAGAAGTTTGAAATAGCATAAGGTGGACACACTGAATTCCAATATATTCAGTATTTATTACATCTTTAATTGACTCTTAATACCATCAGAAACTCAAAATGCGTTGCCTGACAACCGGCACTCACCATGTCCCACTCTGCACATACGTAGGGTCCAGGCCGAAGGATGACCAGTAAACCGATGTCTTGGGCAAGCTGAAGGAAATGCCCCAAATCGCGGTCTCCACTGAAATTGTACTGGCCCGGAACCTCCTCGTGGTAGTTCCAGGGAATGTACCTTCACCGGGAATAAAGCGTCAGCAATATACAAACACAAATACCCAACGGTCTCGCTTCATCACAAGCTGCAACAAACATCCCCAATTAACCTGCTGAATTCAACTTCTAACGAATGATGCTTATTTTGTGGAGTGCAGCACAACCGCATTTGAACATTAAGACAGCGACGTGCACAGATCTCTCACAGGTTTTGAATTGAGAGTATTTGTGTCCTTCCTCCTTGGTCGAATGCTGTAGTGAAACTAGTTGAAAGATGTCACAAAAACAGTCAGCAACAAACCCAAAGTGGTGGTAACGCGGGCAGATAGTGAAACGTTGAGTAAAACCTACGTCTGGATGGCGTTCAGTCCCGCCATGTACATCTTTAGCAGTCGGTCCTTCCAGTAGACCCGGGGGATCCGGCTGTAATGGATGCTTCCTGATATGTATCGAAACGCTTCACCATCTTTCCGGAAGCAGTCCTTCTGGTAATCCACGCTGAAGGAAGGAGGCCCCCCGAGCTGCAGGCCAAGGCACCGTCACTCACAATGAGTCGGTTTATGTTGTGTCCCATTGTGTAGTTAAAGTTTCTTGTTTTTAAATGGTGCAGGGCTGACGCCTCAGCTGACTTTACAGACAAGGCTGGCTGACCTCAGGATTTCTTTTTAACGAGTTGACAAGAAAAACCTGATTTAAGCCAAAGCATTGTTAAGAATTGTTGAGATTCATCTCGTGTGTTTAAAGACAAGCAATACATTTATAAACCAAGTTTCAATCCTTTGCTTTGAAGTGTGGTGGCAGGGCTTTAAAACAAAAATCAGAAATAACCATCTCAGTTTTTTAATGTTTTTGTTTATGTGGCCGCGGGAGTCGACAACAGGGTGACATCAGGTACTTACTGAATGTCCAAACAGCAGCAACAGGAACAGCATGCTTCCGGATCCGAGCAGAGCCATGATGAATCCTCACTGCAGGAACCTGCTTCACGATTTACACTGAATTAAATGTGGCTTTTCAAGCATTGCTCTCCCTCCCTGGACACGACCGGGTTCAGTTCTCACTTCCCTGAGTACACTGCGCTGTTTTGAACCGTGTGGTAACATGAGATGCGGAAGTAAAAAGTCACGTGACGCGGTATCGTTGTGGCGTAGAAACGCTTTTTGACCAGTAGGTGGGAGCAGTGAGCTTCCTTTGGAGCAGGTTGGGGTGCATATTGAGACGGCCCTGAAATGAGTGTTTACCTGCGTAAATTATGTGTCTCCTGCATGCAAACTACAGCTGATCAATTATTCAGCCTCCTCTTTACCTTCATGTAACCGACTGATTAAAAAAAAGAAACTAATGTAAAAACATACTTGGTCAAAAAATGGGATGGGGAAAAAAAGTCAAGAAATGTCAGGTCAAAATAGGATGTCGAAAAATGTCAATGCAAAAAAATTAAATATTCGGTCCAAAAATGTTTTTAAAAAATACCAAAAATCTCTAAATAAAAAAAACGATGTCAGTGCCAGTAGCTGTGCAGGAAGTTTGCAGTTCACCCTCCAGACCAGCGAGGGGCGATGACGCGCTGCTGCGTTGTTTACTATCCGACACAGAAGCGGAAGTAAAGCAAGGAGACAACGCTCGCGGTAGTTACACGTGGGTACACTAGTTTATACGAGTGATGCGGTGCATCCAACTTAATTAGAAACATGCCAAAGAGACAGACAGCCACGCCAGAAGAGAATACCGCTTCTAAAGTGGGACTCGATGACAAGGAGGTCCAGGAACTACCACCGGAGACCATGCGGACCCGCAGCGGCCGCAAAGTGCGCACTCCCGCCGCACTTCTGGACTCACAAGTCCCGGTGAGGACGCCGACGCGGAGGACCAGGCGCTCCGTCCTCCAGGAGCTGCCCGCCGCGGAGGAAAAAAACACGCAGGAGGCGGCGCCGAAACTCGAGAGCGTGGCCGAGGAGAAGCTCGCCGCGTCGCTCGAACCGGAGTCCGGTGACGGTGCCTCGCCAGAGCCGGCGGAGGACATCCACCCGCCCGGGCCCGCGGCGGCAGAAACGCCACCCGCGATTCCCGAGGGCCCCCCGAACAAGAAGCCCCGTTCTGTTTCAAGCGTAAAACCAAGCGCGGTGATTCCGCTGGGAAAACCCAAATCCGGCAGAGTGTGGAAGGACCGCAACAAGCAGAGGTGAGGATGATGTTGATGTTATACTTCTACATTTCAGAGGGAGGTACTGCACTTGTCACTAATATATATGTGTATATATATATATATATATCCCTCTGTATATATGTGGATGTATACACTGTTATGTGGTATTTATATTACTGACTCATAGTTGGGTTATTTTACGTTACGTTATTGTATAGCAGTTTTTGTTAAAATAACATTTAACACAGGAAAGGGATGGTTTATTCCGCAGAATGAAAGGGGATTGTGGGTTGTAGAAAACGGTATAAATATGCATCAAACATATGTCCAACTTTTGGCCCTGAGATGATATATTAATGTGTGTCAGCGTCTTTGTTTTTCTTGCACAAGTTACATTCGTCACTCAAGCACACGATGGCACCAGCAGTCCCTCGTGTTTCCTCACAGGCAAGTGATTGTTTTATCTATTAACCTGCTCTGTTGGGTTTCGTCCTTCAGGTTTTCCGCACTGCTGAGAGACAAACCGCTGTGCTCTTCATGGAACAAGAAGATGGAGGCCAAGCGGGAGAAGGAGCGGGTGAAAAATTACACGTCGCAGCTTAAAGAGCACAAAATCAAACAGAAAGAGGTAATATAAGGCTGTGTGGTGATATAACCCTCGCGACGTTTAAGGATTTGCAAATCATTTGCAAATCATTTCATATTCTATTCGATGTTTCCCGCCTGAATAGGACAAGAGGAAAAGGAGAGAGGACACATTGAAACGTCGTGCAGAGAACCAACGCAAATCAGAGATTGTGCAAGTGGTAAGTAGACTGTTGTTGACTAAAAGTTCTAAGAGACTGTCTAATATATGCTGACAACGCAGAAGGTGCGGCACGGTTTAACATCATTCCCTCGCTATTTCAAACTGCTCATGCAGTGTACTCTATATAACTGGAGTGAATTATATTAAAAACCGTAACAATCCGTGTGGATTTAAGTTCCCAGGTGCTTCTCTTACCTGTTAAATGGGGGCGTTGCTGCAGCTTTTAATCTGTATGACGAGCTTCGAGTAAATCAGAAAAGAACGTTAGTTCTTCTGTAACTACAGAGCTTATTGTTTGTTATTCTAGTTTATGCTTATTCTAGTCCAGTGGTTTTGTGTTGTACACTTACGTTTCTAAAAATAAACCCTTAAACATACCAACTGGGAACATTGACTCCAACAAGCCATTTGAGTGACAGATTTAGTTAGAAAGTTTGAACCTGCTTCAGAATTTGATTTTCTGCAACAACAAAAAAGATAATCCGGTGAAAGCAATAATTGTTGCTACTCTCCTGTCTCTTTTGTATCACAGATCAATAACACAACAAAGATCAAGAGGATGAAGAAGAAACAACTCAGGAGAATTGAGAAGAGAGACACTCTGGCCCTGCTGCAGAAGTCTCCCAAGCAAAGTGCAAAAGGCAAAAGGCAAAAAGGTCCAACGGTTGAAAAAGACTTGACCTAGAGACTGAAAAAAATAAAAATGCAACTGATCAGCGCGTGGCCTACATGTGTGTGTCTGAGATACAGAAATAACACTTGTATGGGAGTTAAACTAAGCTAAATTAAGCTTCGCTCCATTCGTCGTTGACGTCCACCGTCTCTGTGGTCTTTCTGGCCTCAGTGTCTTATCGTGGATTAGATTGTCGTCTCATTTTATTTACAGGGTTTTATATTTAATAAAATTTAGATTCATACTGTTAATTCCATTGTCACACTACTTGATGGCTGAGATATATCACTAAAAAAAATGAGGACAGTGACATTGTCCTTGAGGCCCCGTAGCTTGACACGCCTGAATCTCCAACCGAACTGCCGGCGGCAGAGTTGCATTGTGGGTAGTGTAGGTGCTACACTTGGACAGTTTCTGTTCCCAATCTTGTTAATGTTAAAGGTGTAACTAAAACCTACATACTATGTACACGGTACCTTTTCATTTGTAATCAATTCTTTAAATGGAGAAGAAGTTGACCCAACATGTCCCACTACATGTACCTGTTGTTCCCATCTGCGTCCTTGACATCGCACACGATACATCGTTATATATCAAAAGAGTAATGAGACAAAAAGGAAAATGTGGATAAATTGGACTATTGTTGCATAACCACAAGGTGGTAGTATTACACACTCTTTAAGTGTGTAATACTACACACAAGGATGACTAGTCAAATCCCAAGCTGACTGTTTAAAAATAAAGACATTTGTAAAATTATGAATGAACCTAAAATAAATTGTTTGTACAACTTGTATGATCTATAAATACAACATATTTATATGAAATGCTGTATACTTGAAGCAATACAAAATGTGATCAGACTGATTGTTTTTAAGGAGAAAATACCCAAATCTTTCCAAAACCTGGAAATTTTATTTACAGTTCAAGTCAGTCACATGCAATATTTTCTTAAAATGAATAAACATGAAATTAGCAAATACAAGAAAAGAAAAAAAAAATCATATTATTTTCTCCAAAATAGCAATATACAAAAATAGAGCTTACAAATACTGTACAGCAAATTGTCTCCAAAAATATTCTGCTGCAGAATTCTTAGTTTTACAAACACTGTCTGTGAGAGTCCACAAACGTCATCAGTGTTAACAAAAAACTGGCGTGTGAGTGGAGGAGTGGCGCTCGGGTACACTGGTGATGGTAGTGCGGGTTGCCGGACAAAGAGAGAGGAAGTTAACTGTGACTTGAACAGGCAACGATGAGCCTCAGAGGAATAAATAACACCAAGAAGCAAGTTCACTTCGGGGAGGCAGTGATCGAGATTTTAAAAAACGAACTGGTCTGGTTGCTAAAACCAACCGTGGAAATATGAAACTTTCATCTGTGGAGGGTGCTGGTACCTATTTTCTTTTAATAAATAATATTATTCCAGAATACTGCACTGAAGGAGCAGCCATGTAAATGACTTTGTGACGCTCTCTACTCTTGAGTATCTCTACACATGTGAAGTTGTGCCCCCGACTGTGGTATTTCTCTTCATTGTGTCTTCTCTATTTATAATGGAAATAACTTGGAAGACGCGCTGACGTCATTGACTTAATTGGCAGCAAGCCATTTCTTACTATATTAAAGTCTGGCGCATTCTTTTTTGGCCATATTGTTTTTGAAAATGCAGAACATTCTTTTTTTCCCTGACTGGGGCTTTGATTCATTACAGTTCATCTTGGATTGGCACTTTGTTTTCAGCGGGATTATGACGGCACGCATGAAGGAAACAGGGAAGTTCTGGGTGGAAACACTCAAACGACACGGAAGATAGCCGAATAGCTGCCATTGGGTTTCTATGAAGGGGCATTGTTGGTGCACCTTGTGTATAAATACACTACTACTTTCTACATAGGTTTAACAATGGTGATATCAGTGACAACTTGACTTTGCACAATTTGCGCCATGGGATCTCTTTCTCCTGCCTTTCTCTCACAGGCAAAGCAAATTATTCTCTGATCCAAGTTAATCATTAATACATTTTGGGTTTGAAATTGATCATTAACACGCCTCTGGTCTTGTTTCTGTAAATATGTCAGTTTTTGTTAAAATACAGCAATTGTGAACAATGTGTTTCTTTAAATCAGAGTTTCTTTTAAAGGTCAATAAATGTCATCGGTAGTGGACGGCAGACTGATGCGCCACGTAAAGGACAATGAAACCCTGCTTTCGCTCTCGTCGAACATTTCCACCTGGCTGACCCCAAAGGTCATGACTGTGTCCAAGTTGTGTTGGCGAACAAAGTCTAAAAGCAGTCTTAATTTCCGTCTTATATCTTACGTGCATCACCCATTTTTGGATTTTTTTTAAGCTTCCCTTTTCAGATCAGCACATTGACACAGAATCCATTTACAAAAAACGCAGCTAACAAGGGACGAGAACAAAAAACATAACCTCAAAAGCAGGCGGGGCTTAAGAGTTACTGAATGTGTGGCACAGAAACAAAAAGCATCATGTAGCGTGCAGAAAGAGGGAGAGGGACGAAAGCGCCAGAACACCGCAGGCCGAAAAAGCAGAACCACCCTTTTTGTATGCCTGTGTGCGTGAATGAAAATGCTGCTTCATTGCAACCTGCTGACCACTGACTCTGCGGCAGCCCGTCCACGGCCACAACGCCTGCAGTGTGTGTTTTGCAGAGCGGTAGCTATTTCTTAACCAAAAGATATGCAGATTATCCGCTGAGTGCGGTGGTTCTGATGCATGTGTTCATCAATTCACTGTTTAATGATATGCCGCTGTACCCAGAAATGATCATCACTTCTTGGATAGAAGGAAAAGTAATTGCAACTGTGTGTGCAGAGCATTTTAATAGGAGCTGAGGGAAATGCCGACTTCATTACCGAATTGAGGTATTGAGGTATCGAGCTTATTACAGCCTGATACATGAAGCTAGTAACACCCCCGTTTGACACTTCTGAACAAAAGACATCTGCAACATTTATGTTACCGGTTTTAGACCTTTGTTTGATTCAATCACTAATACTTGTGAGTAATAATCACAGTTGTTGAAGCAGCTGTTTTTAAACTGTGATTCCTGATCTAATATTCTGCCTGTAACAGTAAACAGTGCTGCATGTTACTTCTGGTAGGTCATGTTCTTTTTTTATGAACATAGAATTAATTCACTGTATCACCCTCCTCGACTGACAGAATGATAAAGGAATACGAGTCACATTGTAATGAATGACAAAGAGGCCATCGATGAGGGAAGAAGTTCTAGGCTTAGTGTGAACAGGTCTCTGTTTCAACACATTCACATTTATACAGACAAAGTCTGTTAATCTTAATTTCTTACTTGTGTGAGTGCAATTACAACTAAGAGCATTGTCCAAATCTTTGGACATCTACCGACTGGTTCTGTTGTCCCTTTTTAGATCTATATATATGTTTTAACTAATCAAAGCTCACTAGCCTAATTAAAAACACCCATGTGGCCTTATACTGTACATAGAATAATGGTTAATAATACAATATAAAACATTACCTTGCTACTAGGATCACACGCAGTTAAAGTTTGCCTTTTCGTAAAGTGCTTGTTAAAAAAAACAATTTGTATTTTAGAGTACTGTTGTTGGCTTTTGTGTTTTCTCCTCCTGGTCTTCAGCTGGTGTCCCTTGAAAAGTGCTTTGGTTGAGAAAAAGTGATCGACCACATCTTGGCCAAGGAAACTTCTTCATGATCAGCTGTTCTAGGATCATGAACACGGTGGATTATCAGTCGGAACTGATAATTAGGAAATCCTTTTGTGAACCAATGCAAGAGTAACAGAAGCGGCGATGGCTGAAGAGTCACAGTTTGAGAGTATCTGCGCGTGAACCTCGGTTTCTACGCTTTGTCCACAGAGTCATACCTGTGGTGTACCTGTACAAGTGAGAGCTTGAAGGAGGGGGGGTGTGTATTTGTGTGTGTGAGTCTGCTACACCAGGTTCTCGATGCCGGGTAGCGGCTGCTGTATTGGCACAGGAGCCTCCGCGCTGCCGGCCTGCTGGGCGAGCTGCAGGACGGGCATGTTGCACAGCGGGCACACTTTCCTCACCTCCAACCACTTAATGAGACACCTGGAAGAAAGCGTTTGGTTGAGGCCAAAATACAAAAAGGTGCATGAGAAGCGGGGCCAGAAAATGAAAACATGGGTTTGCTTGACTACATGAGAACATTTCATAGGTGAATCTGAAAAATCAACAAATCATAATTGTACATCAAATTGTTTAAACTCTGCAGTAGGGATGTTGGTATTGACTTAAATAATCTGTCTGGCTCTGATACCAATTAACAGCCACGAAAGGGCTTTAACGTCTAACTAACACTTTATTTTGATCAAGTGGGACAATCACAATCAACCACGCTCAGGAACATGAATTCTAACATACGGTCACACATAAAACCCTTATTATGAGATCGCTCAGCTTTCCAGCTGTGGTGCTGGCTCTGACAGGCAGATGATGTGCAGTATTATTACATTTCCAATCTTGTACTTCATATGACAGTTCTCTGAATGAGAAACGTAATGTCAAGCTGTCCATTAACTGATTAAATGAATCCAGCTAAAGTTGTAAAAGAACTTTTTTAATTAGACTTTACCAATGTAAGGACTTTAGATTGTTTTATACAAATAAAACAACTCCTTCAAATAAGGAGGAGAAGGCAAGCTCTTCACTGGTGAATGTTGTTGTTTGTGGTCTGATTAGAATGTGTGTGAATATGCTGATATAGTGTAAGAACTGGTCGGGCACGGGGGGGCGAGGGGGAAGTTCTGCACTTGGTAAACACTTGGCGTTAGTTTAATGGAGAACAAAAATCAAATCATTAACTTTATTTATCGTTGTCGCCAACATGCAGTACATCCATGTAATGATTTGAAAATAACCACTTCATTCATTAAATACTCCATTTATTTAAGTTTGTTTTCTTCTGTCTACTCACTGTCTCAGTTAAATATCCTAGAGGGAGTAAAGATGCATGAAAATGTTCTACTTTGTCGTGGTTCCACGGACACACATTAAACCTTGTACTTACTTCCTATGGAAGGCATGTTTGCACGGACAAATCCCCAGCTCATCTTTCTGTTTGAACTCCTCCAAGCACACTGCACAAATCTGAAAGAGGGAGGAGAAATTGTAGATATTTTCTGGGGACACGATTGCAACAACTTTGTATTTGTTGGTTGTCCTCTAGTGTTGCACTTCCAGATAAATTGGCGACAATCTGCTGAATCAGAAAGACAGGATAACACGAGCATCCATCTTTCCAGTCTTTTCCCCTGCGTTTTTTAGGTCCAGGTTACAGTGGCAGCAACATTCATCTCTCCGGCTCGTTCTGTGTCTCCACAGGTATTTAGCCTGCGCTGGAATGTGTGATGGATGTTCATGAGGCATTCCAGTCGGAGTGTAGAACCACCTGGGCTGACTCTCATGAACTAAGAAAGAATGTACTCATTTTTCCAACTTAAATATGGAATTTCCTTGTTTTCCCGTGACAATCCAGGGCTACTGGGCGTAGGTCAGCACTGGCATGCATCTAACCTCAAGGTGAAACTCAATATTGACAGGTGAAAAGAAGAGAATGACAGATGTAATGTCCTTGCTCACCCATCACAAAACTTTATCCAACCAGTGGGAGACATTTCCATAAAAGAGGGTTTTAATTTTGCACACAGTCTGTTTGGGCTTTCTAATCCTGCAACTATTACCGCTTCAGCCACACATTGTAGCTTTTTCCCAGTTCTACATTATGAGGGAGGAAGAATAAGAAAGTGATGAAAAGGGCAGCGTGGGGGCTCCTCATGCTCTTTGAACACAGAGGAATTCTCTGTTGAGAGGTCGGCTTTGCTCTCCCTATTTGTGAACAGAGCAGTGTTTTTGTTCCTTTCAGTTCCATGTCAAAGATGTCACACTCACAGCTGGGATCTGGTGCTCCTCATCTGTTTAGCATACGGGCAGTCGCCTCTTTACTACCAGTAAAGAGTACCAAGCCATAGCGCTTTATTTTAAATCAACGGAAAGCACAAAGCTTTGCTAAACCGAATAGCAGATAAATAGTCAAAATTAGATCATATAAAAGTACAGTGTATACTTGTCAGTACTTTACAGAATGTCCCTGTGCCAACTGGTTAAAGAGAGTGATACATTGTGGTGTGAACTGATAATAACTGAACAAAAGAAGAGGATTGCTTACCTCATGCAAATTTAGCTCTTTGACTTTTTCCTTCTGAATTACCTGAGTGGCATAATAAAAGATTAAAAAAAAGGTTAGTCACTGTGACATTAAAACATGGTGATAAAACCGGGTCATGTTTGTGTGTCCCATATGTGCAAGCATTGCAGTCTTAAACAACCCACGGAGAAGTTGGACTAATTCATGCACTGGATTAATGCTTCTAGCCGGCAGGTAGTCATAACAGAATTTACTGTTAATGGTCATTGCAGTATTTGCTATGCCAGTGTGTGTGTGTGTGTGTGTGTGTGTGTGTACATGTGACGTGCATGTATGCATAATTGAAGGGCATTGCAGTCATGTTTATGCCTCCATCATTCCCTCTTAGTAGCCTCGCAGGCTACACTTTGCTTGCACTCAGTCGCAGCAAACTGTGAACCTTTTCTCGCTCCCCTTCAGGTTAAGGGCGAGAATTGTGGAAAAACCTGTAAATATTTTCAAAGGGGCAAAATCTATTTTAAGCTTAAAATACCTGCAACTGCCAGCAGAGTCGTTAAATACATTTTTGCACCAGCTGGGGAGCAGAGCATCAACGTGTGTCTGTGTGCCGTCGGAGTGCTTACTTGTTTGTATGCATATAGCTCTTTGTGCGCCTGGTGCCGTAACCTGGGGAGATGCAAAGACAAAATATCTTTTGGATTAGTAAGCGTTCCTTAACTGACTCTGTGAAATAGAGAGAAAGCAGTCATACAATCCTGGAAAGAGAGAAAAGTGACAAACATGGATGTCATTTCCTTATGAATACTTGCCTTTTGACACTCAGTATAGTAATTTATCCCTTTGGTAACAAAGGGTCATCAAAAGCAATTCTCGATCCATAGAGAACAGTCTCAATAGGTGACAGACAGACAAAGGCAGAGCAGTTTTTCAGAACAGATGTTTATCTTAAGATGAAGATGATTGTGTTGTGCTGCACGAGTGTCATTGAGGGTATGACCGCCTCCGGCGTATGTTAATACAAATCAACTGGATTAACCAGAAAGGAGTGCAAATACACACATTTAGACAGGACAATAAGTCAAATATAAACTCACAATAGCACCCAAAATATTGGATCAAGCATTAAAACCATTATTGCGGGCTGTTGAGGCTTTCTTGAATAATGGTTAAAAAGGAAAAATATCCTAATGTTTAAGGTTGAACTCAAATTCTTTGTGTCCCTCTTCATAAACATTTCATTTTATAAATAGAGAAAAACAAAACAACAGAAAGGGCACTGGATAATAATAGAATCTAGATACTGAAAACAACAATAAAATATGTAGAAAAAAGGGAACAAAAACAAGAGAGATAGGAGAAATTCATAGGTTTGTAAGATTTACCTCCATTACAAGTAACCTTAACCTCTCGCAGCAGAGTGAGAGGGATCTGTAAAACAAGCAGCACAGTCTAGGAGAGAAACTGACATTTTCAAAGAGGTCAGCAGGAAAAGGTGCAGAGACCCCCAAGCGAGCAACGCAAACTGTTAAATTTAAATAACAGCCATCATTATAGTGAAGAACGTCAAACTAAAACTTTCCTAAGCACTAAACTGTGTACGCGTATCTACGCGGCACACGGGTAAACATTTGGACCCAGCTCTTGAATTCAGCATTGAAGGCCTTCCATGCTCAGGAAATACTCGCCGATCCTTGTAACGTTTACTTCCTTGGTCCCATCATTCTCATCATGACGCCTACTGCAGACTATGGGATAGAACAACCGTCGAGACTCAAGTTAACCATCGGCTAATTTGTAAAAAGTACTACTTTGTAAAAGTAGCCGGAAGGACGCTCGAAATTGTGCTCCCGTCATGCATGATGGTGATTACGGGACGGTCCTTTGGGAAGCTGCATCTTTAGGTGCTCGTTTTGGGGCAAAACGCTGTTTTTGCGTCTTGTGACTAAATCTTTCAGTGTTGAATCAGGGTCCTGAAGTCCTAAAGTGTGTTTTTTTTACAGTTAAATGAAGAATTAAAGGAACACAGGAGTAGTTAACCTACTTACCATTCGCCCTGCAACATAGGATATGGCAGGGTGATGATGGGTGAATTGTGTTGGAAACTGCTGCGTCTCGCTGTCTCAGATAAAACATGCTGGACATTATTTCTGTTTGGTTAGTTGTTGGCGGGAGAAAACCCTGACAGCAACTTAATTGGACCGGTGCAGTGCTATTAAAAAGAGGGGCAAGGGAGCGACTAAAAACCACCTCCACTTCTCCTTTGTGGGAAATAAGTACTGAATTACACTTAAAAATAATTGCTTTAAAAAGGGGAGATTCAACAAGGATGATGTTAATGGTTACAAACAAGAGTTTTAAACACCCAAATGTTCATTTAATTTAAGGCCGTTAAAGGAGGTTACTTGGCTCTGAGTAAAAATAAATAGAACCGGTTCATTTGACGCCAAGTGCCATGATCTTAATAATGTAGACAAGCAGCTTTGGATCGCAGCATAGTCTCCAATTAGTATAATAACTACCGTCTCCAAACACTTTGGCCTTTTGTGAAAATGTATACAATTTCCATACAATTACAATTCAGGCAGATACAAAAACCCACATTTCTAAATGAACCCTCAGGAAATAAATGAGTAATAATATTTCAACCTCAACTAAGCGCCATTATGACAATGACAGTGTCTGCTGAATAGAAACTACATTGTTATTCAATATTTATATTTTTTGTGTGGATATCATGACTATAATAACTTCCAGATGACATTTTTAACACTGACCTTTAAAAGGCATTTTTTTAACTTTCTTAGATGAGTAGATATAACATTTCAAGCTTATCAATTGAGAAACATTAGTATATCATTTTGGGTTGTAATGTGTTTCTTTAAATAATTGCATATTTGTGATTTTGATCCTGGCAGCGCATGAGCAGGATAACGCAGTCTACTCGGTTAATTACATTTTTCACCACGTGTTAATGATTTGTTTCACGCGGTGAGTAGACGATGTGGCCAGCCACGGGACCCCTGTGTGACACTTCATTGTCCCAAACTCACGTCTTCAAACACTAAAAGTGGTGATAAGCAAATCCAAAGCTACGAGGTGCATGGGCGTTACCTTATTAAGTAGCAGCAGAAGAGGAGGCTGAGGATGAAGACGAAGATGGCCGTCCCAAACACCACAATGTAGATGTTAAGGGGAAGATTCTGGAACCCTATATTTGGCATCCTGAAACTGTAGTGAGGGAAATCGGAGCTCATGGATATTCTGGATGGAGAGAGACAAATGGCAAAAAGTACATCAGAATTTCCACATAGTTTGACACGTTCAGAGAGTGGACAGAAAAAAAAGGGAAAAACATGTTATGATAGAAAGTGGAACTGAGGGTAGGGTTAGGGTAAGTTCGCTTCGTCCACCAGACTCTAAATCCGTAGACTTCTACGGACCCTAAAACCTCAGAATCAACAGAGCTATGGCGCAATATGTAATAAAAGGGCAACCAGAAACCTTTTTTGTGACGACAGATTATATTCTCATTTACATATTTTGTGATTAGCAGACAGCTCAAGCTTTGCTCCTTCTCAATTTTACAGCGTCCTTGTTTTAAAATAAACATGGCACATTCACATCACCGGTTTTTATGACCAAACTGGCACAGAGCTATGCTTCTAAAGGGCTACATTAAAAGGTATTTGGAAACATTGTGGGAGCATAACTAAACATATTTTGATTCATAAAAGCCAAGGCAAACAAACGACGGCCCATTGGTCGAGTGCTCTTACTCAATATACCCAAGGGACACAACTGGACGTGTCTACGCCCGCCCAGAGAGGAGAAGGAGAGAACAGGAATAACTTTGGCTCCTTTATGCCCCTCCCCTTCACTAAACACCGAGGGCTTCATTCCAAAACTCAGAGTGGAAAGTTTTGTCGAGGCCATCAACAGTTGTCTTCTTACGATGACACTACACGCACAAAACAGGGAAGTTTACACTTTAAACTCTAACAATGGTGTCATTGTCTCTCAGCATTAACCTCAGAATCCTCTAAATAACATTTCTCCAGCCAGTACCTTCACTCATGATCGGGGGTCTCAGTACAGAACCAATGGTCTCTCATATAAAGAGGGGAAGACAAAGCAGTGTCATCTGTGAGATATGCTCACCTCCATCTGGCTGTACCCAAAGACAGCGCTCCTGGTAGGATGCCTGGCTCATTACATCAAGGTCATCCGGATAAATACACGTCTCACAAGGACAAGGACGCTATTTCCGCCAACTGAGCGGTTACACTTGGATTTTACATTGCATATCACTGCAAAGGACCAACACAGCTAGTGGTACACAGGAGAGGAGACGATGGGGCACGAAAGCCATATTAAGCCTGAGCTTTATCTTCGCTAAATGTCCCAACCAGTGCAAATGTGTTCATGGGACAAACAGCTTAGAGACACATTGCACAACTTGTTTGTACACCACTGCATTAACTTGAAAGCGGCCCTTTTCCGGCCTAGTTTGCAAGAATGACTGATGTCAATATGGCCTAACAACTACATCTGATCTTACTATCGTTGTGTGGACACACGCATGCAGTGCACACATACCCGGCTGGTGCCTTCATGCTGAAGAGGAGAGCGATCTGTGTCTCTGGAACACGGGCCGTTGAGAAGTGACACAACTCATCTTTAAGAGCCTTGTTGTGCCAACAAGTGTTGTGTAGCCACATGGATTCAACACACACACACACACACACACACACACACACACACACACACACACACACACACACACACACACACACACACACACACACACACAAACCCCTCTGGGGAAACTTAAGAGTGACACACCGACAGTCAATCCTGAAGCGCAGATGATTAAGTAAGAACAGAGGCCTTTAATGAGCAGATGGAAAAACCTTCTGTCAGTTCAAATAAAACGCATTTCTGAACATATGTGACAGTATGTGATGATTTCCATGGTCGATCTGGCTTTAAGCTGCAGCTCCTGTAGCCCCCGGGGGATATTTTTAGAGCTTTTCGTTCCGATTAGCTTTAGTTAGCTGTGGCTCACCACCAGAGCTAACAAACACCTCCAGTGACTTGGCAGCTTCGGCTGCACTGCAAATTTCTCATGCATGTTTCCGATAGTGGTGGACATTATTGATATATTGGTAAAGGAATGTGAAGAGAGCGGTCTTGTCCTTTTCTTTGAGAGCAGACACTATATACACATTTACTGTAATCTAGTAGAAACAGTGCACACAAAGAAATTGATATTCATCTTTGATGGAAACATTTACTTTTAAAAAGCTAGTCTGGTTCCAGCAAATAAGTCTAAGAATAATGCTTTGAATTTGGAACTATTTAAGGAAAAAACTTAAATGAGCACCTGGAGAAACATAAGTGCAAATACCTCTATACCGACTCAAAAAGAGGACTGAATGGATAAATTAAGAACGTTTATAGTGTTAGTGTTAATTATTGAATCTTTCAACGGATTTGCAGTCAATGCCGAGTCCCATTGAAGCCACTCTGCCAGTACAATGGCTGACTGAAAGAATATCATCTATAATGACTTCTGCCACGGCATTCATTCTGGCAATAATTGAGGCTTAGCACTTGCACTGCTTCCTCTTACTAAAAAGCTTCCTGCTCATCTAAAAATACCTCGTCTTTGAAACCGAAGGGCTCACTCGGGACCAAAGCCAAACTTCCACGCATCACCGGGTAGAAAAGTGAACAAAAATGTGAATGTACAGTGAGGCAGCACTGACAAAGCGCTCTCCACCGCACAACGACAAAATATGATGTTGTTTCCAACACATCTCATGTAGAGTATAATATACTAGAGAGAAAACAGCACCTAGAACACCCTGTTCAATGCCAAGTCATCATATACTCTGTGATTGAAGAGGGCAGATCCTCACTCAGACATTTTAACATGGCCTCATTCTGTTATATAACCAGCAACAGTACCACGCACGGCACATCGTATCCAAAGGAAATGAGCATGAGTGGGCAAACCACTCGTTGCAGTTTTTGTGTGCAGTTTCCATAAGAAAATCTTTATGTTTTCAAATGAGGTGATGGAGAAGAAGGAGAGAACAAAGCCAAGGAGTGCCATTTCCCCATAATGATGAACATAAATAGAACATAAATACAGATTAGCTCCTTGATGTTGTATTGGATAGCAACATAACTTATGTTTTATGATTAGTGGGTGGTCACTAATCACAACTACAAGCCCACTTATTCTCATGTCAGCAGATATGGAGGTTTTGCGGTGCTTGTTTTGAGCTTCTGAGTAATCTTTTAAGACGCAACACAATAGTTATCTCACGATCCAAAAACGTACGCTTCAATGTGAACCTTTTGAAAAGGAATCCACCAGGAGGCCGCTTTTAATCATCCCAAAGAAGCCTGCAAAAGTGTCCAGGAAACGATTTATTAATCAGCAAACGATTGGGTAAGTCAGCGAGGAAGGGCGCATGACAATCACCCATCCATGAACTCTACGCCCTTTTGTGAACTGAACACAGGCCACTCCGTTACCTAAGAGAGAGAAACAACGGACTTCCACTGTCACAGTATGATTCATTTTTTAGTGACGCCTTTATAGAATGAAGCCATTCCGTGTGCTGCTGTCCCTGTTGCCTGGGAACTCCCTGCTTCATCCGAAGATAACATCACTCCCTTACTTTGTGAAGCAAAGACAACAGCGCCGTGTAACACCGTTTACCTTGGTTGGCTTGACAACAGTTCTTGAATAGTCTTTTCAGCGACCGGATCTGAGTACACTTATTTGGGTCCATGTTTCGCATATCTCTCAGGAATCTGATGACTAATACTGTCATTTTTGTCAGGAAAATATACCCTTGTTCTCAGTAGTTTTCCAAACTGCAAAATAGTGCTTTTATTTTCTCGTTTTATCTTACCAATCAAATTTCAAATTCCCAACCCCCGAAACCACAGCTCTGTTTAGCAGTTTTTTAGGATCGGCCCACAACATCCCATTCACAAGATGCTGCCCAAAAGAGAAGTGGAAATTTCCACTAGCAGCCACAGTCGGCCATGAGATTTGCACATCTGAAACTCAATATGCCAAAGGGCAGCAACAAACACCGCGGCCTCAGAGGCAAAAGGGCTCTGAACTTGCACACCAGTTCTTTTGCAATATGAGAGGGGGGTGTTTTGGGACACTGCCCATTCACATGTCTGACCGTCAATCAAAACAAGATCGCTCCAGGTTGACATGTTTTATGACAAGAGTGGCACAATAAATCGTCCTTTCGGATGAAAGGGAGAAAAAATCAGGCACAAAGCCGACTTAATATCTACTCAATGCCGGCTGCTGATTTACAGAATACTGGATTACTGGATTTACAGCTAATGCCACCCCATGCACCATAGAACACTTATGTTTTCATACAAAATGCTGTCGTTTCAAAATGTGTCTGCAAAAACACAGCTCAGCTACCTGCTGTTTGTGTATGTTGTTTATTATATTGATGACTTTACTGAAAGCTTCAATGGCACGTTATTAAATTCAAAGCAAATTGTAAATTTGGACCTTCTATATCTATGCTACGACAATCCATGTCTACTTCATAAAAGAGTTTATCTATTAATGTATGAGTGACAATATAAGAAATATTACCAAAACCTACATAGCCCGTTCCGTTAAAACGCAATAAATCCCTAGAATAGTTTCTGAGAAGGTAAGGTGGCTGAAAGACAAGCCTCTAAACAATCTACTCGTGACTGGTTTGAGTACAGAAAAAAGGTTCAACATCATGTAAATGGCCCCTGAATCAGAAGCGTGTCGTGACCTTTGATAGATATTTGCCCTTTTGCTCTCTCTGCCTCCCTCTGAATCCAACCATTCCACATCGGACTCTGATTGTAACACAAGCTGACACAAACATCAAGGAACTGACACACACAGCTGTCTCATACCAGCAGTCCTGTCCCCTCGTATCCAGTGCCTTACCTTTCTGGATTTAAACACACACACACCTTTATATCAAGAGTGGTGTGCTTCAAAACAATCATTTGCAAATAGTAACAGTGAACAAAATCATCTTCCAACTGTATCAACGCTAATCTGACACTGTTATTTCCCAACTGCGTACTAATGAGAAACCAGACCGTTGGTCTACAGTGTGCATCACGTGAACTATTAATATAACTGGGAGTCATGTGAGGGTGAGTAAGTCATCCTGAAACATGAAAACAACCGGAACCAGTTTGGAGTCATCACCTCCTGGGGTTATCATCTACTAACATGTAGGTAATAAGGAAATGTTTTAAGAATAAATAAACAAAAGAATCCAAAGGTCATAAACTGTGACTGAATCTGAAATGTTATGTTATGTATTTAGTGGAGAACTAATTTGTATGTCTACTCAGGGAAGCTACTTTCAATTTCAGTGATGCATTACTTGTGAATTGAAGAAATGTGTTAAGAGCTCCTTGTGGCTGATATAGCTTAGATTATGATTATTCAACTAAACGGTCGCATTAAGGTAATGAATAAAAGCCCGCGTATTTATCAAGAACCAATGTGCATGCGGGCATATACTGCATGTCCCTTTTGGGGATTGCTTGGCGCCGCTGCTTGCAGGGTTCTTGAACCGCTGATCGCTCCTTGACTCAAGGGGGCTGCAGAGGAGTTTGGTTGTGCAAAATCGTGCAGCAAAAAGGGAACCGCAGAAGACAGGCTCGACTCAAGGTCCAGTCAAACAATATTACAGTTGTAGCCACTTGAAAGGAGCCCCTACCAGAAGACTTACGGCAACTACACGGTGTGGGTTTTGTGGAGATTTACTGTATTGTAAACACAGCAGTTTATTTGGATTCAAGTTCAGCTGATGACGTGCGCCACGAGGGTTCACCATAGAAAGTGAAAGTATGTCATACTTCTCAAACACGGAAAAAAACATTTTCGTTTTCTATGGTTTGACAACAAATTCATCGAGCTGCCTTTAGCCAACAATAAGAAGGTAGGAGCTAAACGCAATATTGCGTAACATAGAATCAAATCTCCTTCTCGTATTCTACCTTCATTATATGTGAGCACAGCTAATCACTCACATCGCAGATGGTGCAGCAATGTGTATTTGAAACCATCCGGGTTGACATCTGTAAGGAACTACTAGTCTGACTAAGATCAGTTATGTCATGTGGTATTTAGCTATTTATCAACCTTCGCTGCCCAGTCTGAGTTTAAGTATGTTCACAAGTGATGCTCTTTTCCTGTTCACCAGAAAATGGCATCAGCGGTTACTGGTGTCAACACACAACACAATCCCTATGCAGCCATTGACAAGCAGGCGTTGATGTTTGAATGGTGTCTTTGTCCTCCTGGTGTCACTATCGCTTTAATCACAGGGGGGGGGATTTGTATACTTGGTGATACTGTGTGTCCACACACTCATAGCCAAGCTCCATCGCCACGATTCAGGGCACGCCCACATGCACTAATATGCAACAAAAGCACGCACATCCGTCCATGTAATGTCAACACAGCAAAGAAGAAGCTCAGATAACAAGACATAAAGATGAGGATTGATTTGTGTCTGGTCAGTTAGACATTACTACATGCGATATTTACATTGTAAATAGTTAGTTGGCTTCTATAACAATGTTTAGAATACGAAAAACAGCTCCTTTAACCTCTGATGTGCAGTCACAGTTTGTTTGATGTCGGATTTAAGGTTTTGCATGTTTCCCAATTTTATCAATATGATAAATGAGTAAAATATGTGATAATTTAACACTTAAAGGTTGATGAAAAGGGTTTAATATATCTTAAAGTAGGGCTCAGTACAAATGCAATGACAATATCATATATTGAGATATTGTGACACGTTTAAAGCGGCTGAGTGTATAATAGTAAGCACATACTAACACCAATTCATCCGAAAATCTGATGTGAAATAGTTTGAGCGATGTAAATAAATAAAAGATGGCAGTTTTGTTTTTACATCCAACTTTACATTACCACTCCGTTCAATGTGATCTACAAACATGATGATTGGACTGAAGTTCTTTGTTTTCATTCGACATCTTATTCACAGAGTATACAGAAATAAGCTTTACCATATGGTTATTTCATATTTTTTTATTTGGTTACTATAACATCTATATATCTAGCAGATATTTAGGCCATGTTGCCCATCAATTATCAGACTGAACAAGGGGGGTTTAACATGTGTTTAGGACCTCTGACCACTATTGTACAGAAAATTAAACATTTTTACTGTACAAATAAAGAGATCCCTCTAAAAAGATGTCCAGAACACATATATATTAGTCCTTGTTTGGAATTATTGAGAAAATATTGATAAATTATATTTTTTAACCTGCCAGTATAGGAATTCTCTAAATTTGTATAGTAAAAATATTTCATTTTCTGTACGGGAGTAGTTAGAGAGGTCTTGAACCCACATACTTCTGTTATTGCCTGGAGTTATTAATTAAATCGCTTTTATTACAGTTACACGTTTAATACCGTAAATGTCAGCATATAGGTGCATGCAAATGTCAGCATGTAGAATTCAAGTGTCCGCTTAGTTGACCGCAAGGTAACAAGTCACTGTTCAGAAACGTAAGGATAGTGATGCAATCGTCTCTGGATATCCTTCTTAGCAGTGTCCTACGTCATGAAAGCAAAATGAATATGACCCCTGCCGGTGTCAGCTATGCTCAGTCCTGACTGAAATAACCGTGTTTGCGCCGCACGCGGTGTTCTGATCGCGCGCGATGGCATTCACGCGAACCTTAAACAGCCACCGGGGAGACGCGCGTCCCGGCCCGACACGATGCGGTCAGTGTGGACGGAAACACGGGAGAAGCCCCGCTGTCTCCCTGCCGCGCGTTTCCCCACAGACGTCTGCACGGTTTGGTTAAAAAGTGAGTTTAATAATACGGGTCGTTGTCCCCCACCCCCGGTGCAGCTCGCTGTAAAGCCCCGACGTAACAATGATGTCATGTCATCTGAATGATTAAAGACCAGCTGGGTGGTGTTGACTACCGGGGGGCAGGAGGCGGCTGGGCGTAGGCTCGCGAGCAGCCCTCCCCAGAATGAACTGGTAGAGACCGTCCACACGTCGGACGGCTCGGAACGTAACAGCATGTGAAAGAATCGGCGCGTAGAATAAATCCCGCGGTGGGGAGGCGGCCATCTACTCACCGGCACGTCGCTCAGTCGCCTCGGTGGGTTTTTTCGTCACACACTCCGCGAGGGGTAGGGGGGGGGGGGGGGGGGGGGGGGGGGGGGTTGCAGAAAGGCGTTGAGAAGCGACAAGTTGAACCGAAAGCAAAGTGGGTGTGTGGGTGGGGGGAGGATGTGGGTCCCCGGCAGCATAAATAATAATAATTTTGAATAAATCCGCTTTATCTTCGCGTAACCGATCCGCCGCTGCAGGGCGACCTCATCACAGCGCGCGATGTCGACGACGGCGACGAAGGCTGCGTGGTCACCCGACGGTGAAGGAGAAAAGGAGGTGTTTGGCAAATGAATGCCCGTTGGCAGGGTGGAGGTGGAGGGTGGGGGGGCTTCTTAGCAGTAAGGGTTTTGAAGAAAAAGAAGAAACAAATCTTTATATCCGCCGTTGGCAGTGGGGTTCGTGGTAGTGGCGGTCTGCACGGCGCGCACGTAGACGTCCTACTGAACCCACCACCACCAGCAGCCAGGTCCCACCTCCTCCCAGTCAGCAAGACACGCGCCCCCCCCCCTACTCCTCCCCACCCGAGGTGTTTGCGTACGGCGTGTCCGGGGGAGCGATGCTGAGCGTGGGAGGGGGGGGCGCGCACATGGTCACGTAGCTCATTGCAAGCGAGTCTTTATAAGTATAAACGGTTCAAATCGGGGGCGATAGTGCGTCGCGGTCGCGGTAAAAGAAAATTCTAGAAAACCAGGAGCGCTTCATTCATATTTCTACAGAAATATGAAATGATCGATGTTACAGCACCATTTAGGGCGCGTATACATGGATAAACAAAAGTATTCTGTTTATTGCCTGTTTAAAAAAAGCAACCAAAGTAAAAAGTAGTTTTGGTTATTTTGGTGGTGGAGAACAAACTCTGAACTTATTGCGCCACAGTTTGAAAAAATACCCCATTGTAAGTAAAGGTTATGTATTTGAAATTTTACACTATACACTATCAAGAGTACTTGGTATGCACAGTGGTCCCTTTCAAAGTGGTAGGTTGTTCTTGTTGCTTTTATTCACGTTTTATTATCTGTGAAGCATGTAAAAGCGAATTGTCATTAACGAATGTTTATCAATTAGTTACAACACTACACCTTTCAGCGATGAAAAGTGACACTGATCTTATGAGCTGTTGTGACAGTAAGGAAAAGGGATTATCACATGCATTAAAGGTCCGTCTAAGTGTAAAACTCATATTATGCATGAAAAAATACTTCATACATTTATAACAACTAATACGATTTCTCCATTGAGGCCAAAATCGATTAAGCACCTATAAAAACTTCAGCTTTGAAAGAGCAGAATGATCCGAGTTGCCTGGCTTAGACTCATACGCAGAGGAGGATAATTTATCAGCTCACAGTTAACAAGCTCTACTTCTGAGAGGAACACTCCTCTCGACTGTCGTGTCACTGTCTAGAAGTGAATAACTGAATTATAGTCCATGTGTTGTGCTGCAGGAAACCTTGTTATCTTGTGCGTATGCTCATGGGAAATCTTTTCCACATGATAAATTCCGGATAATCCGAATAATGTTTGTGGTGAGGGGGAAGTCTGGAGCCAGGCCATAATATTTATAATTCATTCCTAAATTTTCAAATCACTGATCAAATTACTCTTTCCACTGTAGCATTGACTCAGTCATTCTTTACATTGCAAACTACATATGTGGTGTTATGCAGACTATGTTCACAATACCAACCAAAGCATTTTGTCGTGGTAACTGACAGTTACTGACTCACAGATCTGTGAGTTTGGTGAGATACATTTGCTGAAACTCACCAGCCATTTCAACGCACCCACACGCACAACACAACACAATTCAGACACTTCCTCCTAAGAAATATGAACACCGTATCCAGGAAGCCACACTTTGGCCACCCAGCCCGGCACTTTGCCTCCTTTGGAAGTAGTGGAGAAGCACGACGATTCCCCACTGCCCATCACTATGAGCGCATGTCAATGAGGTGCCAATGACAGGATTGCATTGTGAGATGGGCACAGAGTGGGAGTGCCATGTGACACTCCTGAATGGGCTGCCGGGGGTTGGCCGGGGGGGAAGGATGGCAGCAATCACAAAGGCCTATTCAGGGTCGCAGACTAGGTACAAGACTGGCACTGGTCCTCCTTCCCTTCCATGGAATGGGCAGGAGGAGGCTGCTGCTGCTTTGGTACTGACTGAATGGAGGGATTATTTCTGAAGAATTGGAGAGAGGAGGTTTATTATCACCATCCTACGCTTCCTTTAGTCTGTTGATGGCCATTATGTCCACTTCTGCAAATGCACTATTGTTTTGTGGGATTGGGTGTTCTTCATACATTTTCCTTCAATGAAGTTTTCTTTCAGAAAATGTTGCATGACCATGGAAAATGAGTCACATTTTGAGCATGGGTAGAATTCTATGATAAAAGTGCACTCATTCTCAAAAGCAACAGGAATCTCGTCAGGATACTACTCAGGAGCTCCTAATTTTATGGGGGAAAAGTATTTTAACAGTAGCTTTTCTGTTAATCCATATTATATACAAAACTCTGTAAAATTAAAAAATATATTTGTAAATCAACAACCTAACTGTTCAATATTATTGTATTATGCTAATAATGACAAATTACATTTTTTCTCATTTCTTTACAGAATAATTACTGTATTATTTGTCCCTACTAACAATTGAAAAATGTTCTTCGTTATAAATTCAAACACTGTAATTGGGGATCTCTTTTTTAATCGCATCAAACATAATTTGTTGACGACATAATCTTTTAAAAGAGCACACAGCTGCATTGCTCTTGATGTTGAAACTTCCAGGCCCCCCCAATCAGGGATGTTGCAGTGAGTAAAAGCACATTCATGCCATTGAATCAATAAAGGCAAAGTCAGGAAAACAATGCATTGCAATACTCCAGGCAGAAAGTAGAAGCACAAATTATATAATATATTAAGTCATTTAGAGAAGTAACACAAGATGACCGTGGTGCAGCGAGTAGAGGGTGCTCAGGAAACTGCGGGGTTGGTGGTGATACGTGTCCCGGGTCGTAGTGTGCCTGAGCAAGACACCTAAACTCTACCCCCCGTGAGTTACATCGGATAAAAGCGTCAGCTATATGGTATGCAATGTAATGCAACACGCTTGAAAGTTCAACCCTTAAGAGAGCAGTGCAGAAACGTTTTGCCATGTTGGACTATAATAATAAAAGGTCAAATCTGTAAAATAACAGTTTTTCTCAGCAGAACCCAATGAAGATTTACGTGAATTTATGGTTTTCGCTCTTCATTTGAATTGAGTTATTTTACTTGGCACAAACATTGCTGGATTGCTTCTTTGTCCTTTCTTTTTGTTTTTACAGTGTAACAGCACCATAACACAATCAGATTAGAAGGAAGTGTGGTTAGTGTAATACAAATAAAGAGGATTTCAGTTTCTTAACACCACTTTATAATACAGTGCGATCTTCATTATTATGACTCATGTTTTTGTACAAGCAGCTGTTGGTCTGACAGAACGAGCTGTCAAACCGAAAACTCTTTCACTTTTAACTTTCCGTTATTGTGGGTTACCATAATGCATGCTCTGTTCTAGCTCAGGAGAGAAAAATAAAGTGACAGTGTGAAGTTTTATTCGCTGTTGCATATGCACACACATCATTTGACTATTTGCTACCCTCTAGTGAGGATATTTGTGTTTTACATCCTGATCAGATTGCTTCAAATTCCAAAGAAAGGACGGTTAGAGACTCCGCACGAAACAAAAAAAAATAGTTGATTGGAATTAAAAGTGTCTTCACCTGTCGCAGAGTCCTGTGTGTTTTTAACAACACCCAAAAGTTAACTTCACGTGGTATATTTCCAACCAAACGTCACTCAAAGACTGTATTTGTACTGTAAGAATGTATTTCAACAGGTTTTTTTTCTCTATGCCAACCATATATTTTCTTCAACTTCTTACTTTTATTTGTATTATATTGGGGATTTTTAAATACAAGCAAGCCGATGGAGATTGATTTAGATCTTTCCATGCAGGCTGAGGCCTGTAGAGGGCATTTTAGGCTTCTGTCTAGTCTGGTGAAAAGGATATTGACTCCTTAGCATTTTGTGTCTTACGGATGTAATGTTTCAGGTACTGCTTTGTTTCCAGGACTTTCCAAAAACAGCATTGAAGACAGTAAATCAGTCAGAACCCTGTTGTTAAAGTTGTTAACTGGGACAAGATAAAAGCTAACAATGTACTTTGGTTCATTTTAGTGTTTTTTCAAACATTCCCTCTCACATGTGTTTTACTATTCTTGATTTTCTTGTCTTTCATCCCGTATCAAGGAATTACCTCCGTTGGGATAACAAAGCACCGCAGTTTCATCTGAATTACCTGATTGGATACATTTCATCACAGCTTTATAAGCGGCTCATTGATGTGATACTGTACCTAATCCAAATTGGTTTTAGTTTCGTTCTAAAACCCCCAAACCTACTGAACATCATGTTTCACACAATACATGCGTTTTATCCTGAACTACTTGTATTTCCCAATTTGTGCATGCTTTTAGAGATGTTCCTTGTCACTTTAACAAGACTAACGTGGTCTCTGACTAACCTAAAGGAGTCAACATCCCTTTTCACAGAAAATGTGAGAATCAGCATCGCCTGCAGCCTGTGTGACATTTAGAATCGGCACGCTGTGCGCCTGCACTGTATGTCTTCTAAGAGGAGAGATCCACTGTCACATAACTCGCCCAGTCCTCCCAGAGACACACATAGCTGTGACGAGGCGCCGTATCCAGTGACAAATACAGGCGAGATAGTGTGTCTGCTGACCCCTCATGGACTAAAGTGTTGAGAAGTGCTGCAGCCAGCAATATATTGCTGTATCATAGCTGTTGTTTGAAAAACAAACAATAATGAGCAAAATAACTAATAATATATTCTTTTAGTAGTGCTGCTATCTTTTTTACATTTTGTCATAATTTTATAAATAAAGTTGTTTAACTTTATTTATAAAAGGAGATTGAATGAAAAGTCGATATCCTGCACAATGTAATTCCTATAGAAATATTTGTCATTTCTTGTAAGTTACAACAATATTAGCTTTTGTAAGATCCCCTGACAAATAGGTCATTTGTCAAACAAACACACACATCATACTTCACACTATTTACACATGGGCCTCGTGAATCAAATTACTGTTTTAAAAGTGAGCAGTGGTAGAATTATTTTTTTAAAAACGTTGCAGTTCCCATCTGCAAGGTTGAGTGATTTAGCCTCTTTCACCTTTTTCTTTTGGTTTTACTTTATTGTTTTGGTTCACTCTCATCCATGTTGTTTTTGGTTGCAACATGTTTTCAGCACAAAACTCTGCTAAACCTGTGCACAACCTGCTCAGCCCCAAAGAGCAAAGAGACATAAATGGTGACTGGTGAATATAGGGGAGTATTTAGCAACTAAAGAGTCACATATAACCATAACATTACAAACAGAGCAACCTTGCGCATGTA